ATATAAATAATATAATAAAACAGAAGGCTGGATTCAAATTGCAGACTTTGAAAATTTACTTCTGGACTAAGAGACATACATGCACAGCTAGCTGCAATGTTTTCACAGAAACTGTTTATTCCTAGATAAAGAAAAACCAGGCACTTTTCTAATTTGGTTTAATGCTAGAAAAAGGGTAGGAAAAGAAATATGAAGGGAGGTAATGATACAAGACTGCTGCAAAGGATGATTTTCGAGTAGAGCAGGAAACTAGCCTGACACTAAGCTCGTCAATCTGACAATGCAAGCTCGGATCCCAACAACGGCTATCACCTCCAAACCTTCCCACCACATGGTGCCAAGCAAACCAACAGCAGAAATCTGCCTACGCACAAGAAAGCTCCTTAGCAAATCACAGTTAACACCCAATTTGTCACAAAAGTTCTACCAATCCTAGTTTTCAACAAAAAAAAATTGTCTGTTTTATGTATCCTGCTAGAACGTTTCACCTTCACTATGCTTGTTCTTCCTTCCTCTAATACACAGGTCCAAAACCACAATGATTTAATGCAGTGCAGGAGCACAGAAATTCACATTTTCTCCCAAAAGATACCCTGAATATTTCATAATTCAACACACTTGCATATATCATCAAATATACCAGATGCTACAGCCATATTTCTCACTCCTCCCTTTCAAAAGGCACAATTCCCAGTTATTTTACCTGAAGATGCACCCCTGTAAGAAGTGCAAGACTCCCTCACTAGTAAGAGCTAATTTTTTTCCACTGAAATTTAGATTGTGTACAAAAGGCACAGATAGTGAGTTCCTGTGACAAATTCTGGAAGTGAAGGCTCATAAGAGGCACTGTAAGTTTGTCAGTGAGAACATCTGGAATCCTGAACAAATATATATTACATATTATACTGCACAGTTCTGGTATGCCTATCGATTTTCTAAAGGTCATTTACCTCTAAAGCTTCTGTCATAATGCAACCCATAACAGCACAGATTCGCAGAGTTCCTTCAGTTTCTAGTTTATTTAATGATGATTTCACTTGATCAATGGGAACAAGCCAAGCACCAACTGCAGGCGTTGCAGTGCTCAGGAGGTTCAGCTGCCTGTTGAGAAAAATAAGAAGAATTAGGTATTCACGTTCAGCAGCAGCAATTAGTAAGATTTTCTAATGCTATTATGAGTGACATTCAAATAGGTGGAATATGACAGAACAATGTTACAAAGTAACAAACACAGACTTATTGCCCAGAAAATGAAAAGTGGCAAAAAGTACCTAAGGCAGGTTTTGGTTTACTTGCTCACCCACTCATGACTCCACCTGCTCTTGCTACCACTATTCCCTCCTTTTCCCATTTGTATTCCCTACTGAAATCACAGAGTTTTAAATTCTCATCACTGACTGAATCCCACATTAACTGTTACACAATACGTCATGAAGGACTTTTGCTGAAGGGCTGAGGCAAGAATATCAGCAAAACCACAGAGAGTATTTTCTAATTTATAGCTCTGTACTGGCCTAAACTGCTGAGAGATAGGAATATTTGGATTGTTCTACAAACACAATATGAAAAACTATCTTGAAATAAATTTAGAAAGATTTATCTGAAACTTTATAGCACAATGGCAGTAAGATCATGGGTTAAGCATCAGGTTGAATACCAAAAGCACCAAGTGGTTCTCTTCTCTAGTATCTTTCCTACTCAAAACTAATACCCTCCCGTGCCTTTCTCCTTCATACATTTCAGTCTCACTGGAAGTTTTCTGTTGGTGTATTTTATCTTTCTTTTCTTCTTTTAATCATACCTAACCAAAAATTTTCTAGCAACACTTCCATATAAATGGCAACAATAAAAAATTGAAGCAAGAGTTACTGTGAAATATGCAAAATCCAAAATTTTCATTTCCAGAGAAGCTTCAAAAATTATTGAAGTTACATTCAGAATCTACCAAATACAACTGCAATTTAACAAAACAGAATTGTCATTTTCTTTCTTTTAAATCGGGTAAAATTATACCTTGAAAATATATGGGCTGGAGAGCGCACATTGGTAGGGGCTGCAAAACTAAACCAAATTTCTTTGATTGTTAACTTCATGCTGCAAGAGTCAGGGGGAGGAGGCAGCAAGGGTATATCTTTTTTTAGATCATCAGATTCAACCCCTTCATCCTAAAAAAGGAAACACAAAGTCAAAAGTGAAATTGTCTTCCAAAGCAATTACATTGGAAGGCACTAATGTACCATACTGTGCACTGCTCGTAAGAAATACTTTCGTATGAATTCAGGTAAAGAAAAATAAAGTAATGCTGTATATCAACTCTCCCAAGACAATACCAAGAGACCTCACAGAAAGGTGAAACTTTAGTGTGCAAGTAGACAGTATGAATGCAGTTAGCACAACATCTGTCAAATTGTTAATTTTTTTTTATGAATGTTAATCACTTTAAAAAACCCCACAAACCAAGACCAATCATTTCTACATAGTATGTACAAACCTGCTCATCTGAAACTGAGTTTCCATTAATATCTGAAGAGGGACTTATCCTATCACAAGGAAGGTTATCGTCAGACACATCAGTATTATAACCACTACCAGTTGGAGAATCTGAAGAGTTATTTGATGCAAGCAATCCACCTCTCTCTGTATCTCTCGATTTACCCATGACTCCAAATGTGTTGTACAATACTGCTCCGGATTGTCTTCCTCCTGTGAAAGCATACATACCAAGACTGTAAATGTTTGCCATTCAAACATCTGTAAGTTATGTCCCATAGAAAAGATCCGTTCTTAAGAGGAAAAATACATACTATTTTGGTTAAACAAGATGCATTACCATTTTATACAACAATTTATTGCTACAATTTTCATACAACAATTTAACAGCTAGTTGTAGAGCTTCTGATAGTTTGTTCTGAGTAGATGAAGAGTACTCACATGAAGACTGTTTTTAAACACCATTCCCTGAAAAGAATAACTTGGATGACAGAAAATACATATATATGGATTTTGGGTTTTTTTTGAAGCTAGCTTCCCCTCCCAAAGCAACACTCTGGCCCTATATGCAGACACTTACTGTGGATAGGACTGCAAGGTCAGGATTTAAGTGACCAGTGGAAGTATCAATTTCTACCTTCACTTCAAGTTCAGAAACTGCTGAAACCAGTTTATATGGAATTATTTCATACACTATTAGAAGTGGTATTGATTTCTAAAAGTTGCTCTATTGTATAATCTACTATGCAATGTGATTTATTCACAACAGACATGTACTATTTAGTATCACCTATATTCAGTGATTTCTAATCAAATAATTGCTAAACTAGAAGACCTAATAACAGAATTGTTAGTAGTTTCGTAAAACAAAATAATACAAAGCCTATATAAGCTTTACCTTTTATAGTTAAATTTTCAATTCCACACTCAAACATTATCCAGCCCCACTTCTCTTGACTAGGACCGATTCGAGTTACATCTGGAACAGCTTGTTGATCTGTTTCATCCACAAAAGCAAACTCATCCAACTCTTCCAAAGTAAAAAGAACTTTTGATTTCCCAAAAGGAATAGCTGTTATTGCACAAGTTCCAATATCTGTGAAAACAAACATATTTATCACTTTGTTACAAAATGAAAAAAACTTGACATCTTCAAATAGCTCTCTGAAGTTTACAGTGTTTGGGGAGTATTGTCTCTTTAGTATTCTTCAAAACGGGGGGGAGTGGAGAAAGGAAAAAAAATAAAACTGAAGCACAAGCAAGAAAAAAAGAAACAGAGAAAGAGGAAGAAAATATTGTTAATATGGGTGAGGTAATTTTTAAGTTCGGAAAAAACAAGGACGGAGCAGCACAAAGTTAAAGTTTCAAGACATTCCCAATCCTAACACATTTGCCTTCTTTGTCTTTTTGTACAGTCATGGTTCCAAAGACATGTGTACAAACAAGCTCTTCAGATTTTTATCTGAAAGTGGCAATTGGCCTGAAATTACTTTACCTAAAGAAACATTCCTAATAAATACCTATGGTTTAATAGCAACAAATGACAGTGATACTGACAGCGCTCTCGGAAAACATGTTTTAGTAGAAATGCATTTGGTATTAACTATAGCATACTTGAAGGATATTTAGAAATAAAGCTCTAATTTTAATTCATAGACTGCTTCTTGGTTGGAAGCATGTCTACGTCTGCGTTGGGAGGATGTAAAGCCCCAAATCTCACTGATTCCTAAGAAAGTACAGACTCTAGCAGTTTTTAATTCATTATAATCTTTGCTGTCTAAGATCCAGGAGGGTACTATGCCACATTGATTTCTTTGATGTTAGGATGTAGCTTAAATATAAATCCTTTCTTCCAGTGACATTTCTGGAGAAACATTTTAAATAATTTTATAGCTATTGCCCATTAACACACACACAGAGTTAAATGTCAAATATCTGAGGAAAAGAACTACACTGGATCAATTTATATGCCTTCCAATCCTCACTCTCTGCTCCCAACTGATAACTGCAATTACTTTTGAAGTACATGTGAAACACTAAGGTATCTAGAAAGACACTTCTCAAACCTTTTAAATAGAAGATGATGAGTTTTCTTGGTTAGAATTCAAAAATTACTAGGCCTTCTTGAATGTCTGCAGCATAACTAAGACAGGGCACTACTTCTAAGATGCTACCCGTAACTAAGTAAAAAAAAAAAAAGTGGAGTTAACCATTTTAATGTTGTCTTATTGCTTTAGTTTTCCTCCAATTTCATTTGCTGACTCATCTTTGCACAGCAGTGTGTTTTTTTGTTTATTGTGTGGTTTTTAATCATACTTGCTTCACAGAGCACTTCCTCACATCCTAAAGATTCCTATTCTTTATGGGATAGTGTAAAACACGGCACTAACTGGTATAGATTCCATCAAAATCAAATCAGTTTTAACAAAAACTGCCTCCACTTATGGTCTTCTTTTCCTGGTTAGCTTTTCCAGGGTCAAGAGTTATAGCAGCTGAATTTAATTCACAGCCTTTTGAATGAATCTCCTTAACACAAACAAGAAGACGACAATTGGGTAAGATCTCATTTTCAGTTTTACAGTTGCTATAATTAAAAATCCACAGCTCGTCATGCTGAAATTGCCAGTACAACAGGCACATTATACCTATCTTGAAATTGTTAGAAAGTAGTAAGAAAACAAATAAGCATAATTCATTGCCCACATCAGGTGACAGAAAATAGTAGCTGAAAAGAGACCAACTGAGAGGAAGGGAGCCAGGCCTGAAATTTTACCAGTGCAAGTCAATATTTACAGTGCAACCCAACTGCCACTCAAACCGCTTAGAAGTTTTTCTTGATAGTTTTCACTCTGCCTACATTTAAATCTAGCACTTTAGTAGAATAACAGAAAATAATTCAGAACAACCATCCTAAACTTCTTTTTTAGAGTATCTGTAAAATCACCAGGTTCTAGAGCCTTTTTATCTGTCTTGATAAAAAACCACCCATAACCAAACTACGAGATCAAGGCCAACTATAACCATGTGCTTCTATGAAAACTGACACTTTCACAATTTAAAAAAGGGCTTACCTGTTGTATCAAGGCCTCTAAGTTGTCCATGAACACGATGGATGTTCAATTTAGCAGCAATTTCTTTTCCTTTTTCTGCTCCAGCATTGGATCTCAGTGAGCCAGACGACTGGGGCTGCATTTTACTGGTTTGGATGTAACGATCAAATGTGACAGAATTCCTCCCAGTTTCTGCATTGTTTGAAGTCTCCTCAACTATACCCCTTCGAATATAAGGGAGGAAAAAAACAATTAAGCAAATCTCAGGTAGACATATTTCATTTGATTATTTTTGTTCAAAATTTTAAGTGACTGGCACAGCAGTGTTAAAAAGAATTCTTCGTAAGATAGAAGATACATATACTTTGGTAGAAAAATACTGAAAAAAGTAATTTCATCCTGCATGACATACAAGAAAGAAAGAGTTAAAACTAAAGTTCCAAAATTATTTCAGAAGGGTTCCTTCACTTCTTAAACTGCAATCCTAATTAGATAGATTTTAACTTATAAAACACAGAAGACACATTTTATTGCTTAACTCAGTCATGACAACTTTTTCAAATACTCTTCTGAACTGAAAAAAACTGGCATCACTGTAAGTCTTTTGACTAACTTAACAAGAGCCACAAATAGTGACATGTATTATTCTTACCTATTCATACGAACTTGCGTAGCAATTCTATCAAAACACAAAGCTACTAATGAAACATGAGTCACGGTTTTGCTAGAAGAAACCCCTGGGGATTCATCGACAGATGCTTGTAGTAAACACAGGTTCACCTGTATGTAAAATTCCGCCAAAGAGTAAAGAAATTTAGAAGAACATGTTACATTAAGTATACATCACTAATTTCTGACACAATCTTGTCTTAGACTTCTTAGTAAAATGAAAAAAAAAATAAAATCATTACACCTAGAAGATGTAAAAACCATTTAAAGACATGGTAGTCACTTACCCCCATAGTGGTTGTTAGTTAACTTGCACACCTACCATAGAAAAATTGAGCAGCTCCAAAACAGTCTATCCTGTTCAAAACGTTAGTTATCTAGCACAAACACATAGTTTCATTTAAGCTTTTGGGGAACTAATAGGGATGCAAAAGAAGGGTAATTTGTGAGGCACACTACTAATAAGCTAAAAAAAAATAAGTTGTTACCTTTGGTACAGTAACGTTGGCCTGAAGACCCTTAATTGTCACATTATCTTGCTTAATTGAGAGATTGGTCTGTGCTGGTCCCTGGTTTGTTGTTCCTGTAGTGGTAGTGTCTATTTTTGTTCCTCTAACATCCTGCTTCGAAGATAACTTGGAGGGGGGAAAAAAATAATTTATTCTCACTGTAACTCAGAGCTGCTAAGCTAAAGAGTAACAGGATAGTTTATTAGCTCTGAAGCAGTAAGAGATTCTGACTTCATTCAAAGCACACCACCATGATTTCTAGATCAAGGACTGTAGCACTTACAGATATAGTACGTCTAGATCCATAAGGGCAGTAATGTCATTCTGCAATAAACTTTCAAATGACCAGATTTCAGCTGAAAGTTTGGGTTCTACAAATGTAAGTATATATAACAACTTATTATGAAGTAAATAATTAGTGTTCGTTACACTGTGAAGTCTAAGAAATCATAAAATATAGATACGGTCATTAACTTGGACAGAAAGAATTCCTAATTCTGTAGAACTACCATATAATTCTTTTCAAGCTAAATTAATTCTTTAAAGTATCAGATGAACTGCAAAAAAACCACATGCACTTTCCCAGCTTAGCTTGAACCTTCGTCTTTCTCACAGAGACGATCTCCCTAACTACTGTAAAATAATAAATGATGTATTTCCGATATGAATATAATACATATCAGTTATAGTAATCTCTAAGAACAGAATGTATCATCTCATGCAAATTAATGCAGCTACTGACTAGACTGTCCAAAACAGTCTGTAAGAGAGATTTCTGGTCACCAAAAGGCAGTATAACACTTGATTATAAAAATGCACATACATTAGGCACAAGATAAAAATAAATATGTATTCCAAATTTATATAGCATTTAGCTACTACATCTCAAAACACTGAATCCAATTAAAACTTCTTCTACATAAAATATAGGAAACTATTCTTTCAAATCTCTGTGCGTTTTTCTTGTTTCCTTTCTTACATTTTCCGAGAAGCTTGTTTTGCTGTTCTGTACAGCATCCCGAAGAACTTTGCAGTGCAGATCGTCAACGATTGCTGCTGGGTGTCGAGAGCTAGCACAATGCACCATTGCTTCTATATACCTGCGAGAGGAAACAAGCCCACAACAGAGCATTGAAACTTCCAGTTTCACATGATACACCATCAATAATGTTTAATTAACACTACAGAGGAAAAAAATTAAGCACTGACAAACATAAAGGGCACTTCCCAGGTCAGCAAAACGTTCTTCTAGCTTCTTCACGGGAAATGCAGAGTTACGTTCACGTGGTACAAGGCCTTATTGTTCCATCAGTCATGTTATTCAATCCTTTTACCTAAACCTTTGCTGAACAAAACAGCTTTGATTTTAGACAGTTTTTAGGATAATCAATTAACACTGCAGTAGTAAAAGTAAAATTAATTACCTATCCAGTGCCTCTGCTACAAGAGGAGTCAGAACTACATCTACAGTTCCTTTTACTTCTACTATTGCTGTTGTCCGTGTCTGGAAGACAGGGTGATCCAAAGTCCATTCTTCTGTTATTGTTTCATCATCTGTATTTTCTGCAGACTTCTTTTCCAAAGGAGTATAAGGTGTACTAAACAAGTCAAATACATATTAACAATCTAGGTTTGTAAAAGAAATACAAAAGTGTCCTGGTATGCTTTTATTCTTAATAAAATGCATATAATGGCAGGTTTCTTCTACCGCATAGCTTAGAAAGCACACAAATAAAATCCCAGGGCAAGGCCCTTCCCTAGATCCAAGTTCAACTTTTGGCAATGCGATGGACACTTGCCATAAGCACTTCCCAAATTAATTCAAATTCAGTTGCAATTCATAATCGTGAAAATGTACGGGTGAAATAATTTAATGCTTTCACAGTGTACTCTCTTTTTGACCAAACCCAAACATTTTACGATAGAATATTCTCTCCTAAAATACTGAAAATCTGTACTGAAAACTACTGTTACAAATCAAATTTTGGAAGGGCTACCAAGAGCCAAAGTATTTAACAAGAGTATTAGGAAAAATCCTACTCTTAAAAAAATATGCTAATAATGTTATGCAGTATTCAACTTACTTAGACGTTGATCCTGTAAGCTGCATGCCTCTGTCCAGTAACGAATTAGCTGTGAGACCCTGTTTAACAATCTAAGATAAAAATGTAAAGAGATTTATTACATTCCTTCCATATATGAAAAAAATACTCAAGAAATCTTCAAATAAAGATTCTCCTTTCAGTTTTTTTTCTTAAAAGAATCCCTCATATACAGATTCTCCAACATAGTATACAGAAACTCCTAGGTTTCTTTTTTTAAAATTACTTGAGAGATTAGATTACAAAGTTTTTACATAGATAGTGACTAATCACTTTTAAAAAAAGACTTCAAATACTAATCTGTGAAAGACTTGCATGAACAGAAACCTTTTGCTGCAAAGTGATAACAAATTAAATTCTAGAGCTTAGACACCTATTTTCTATCAAGTAAGTTCCATTATTTTTCATGTATTTCATTTCAGCTCCTTCCTTATGCTCATATCACATACATCACACAGGGGGGGGGGGGGTTAAGAAGCCCAAACATTTACAAAAATTATTTGCTAAATCTGAGTTTCAATTTTACTTTGAAATAAAGCATTTACAGCCTACGTTATACTTTACCAGTATTATATGTGCTTCTACTGAAGTTCTCTGTAACGTGTATTTTAAACAAAACTCACATAAATATCCTTCAGCTGCATATCATTGACCAGGCAGCATTTTTAAGTGCAATAATGACAATCCAGAACACACATCTTATCCACATAGTTCTAACTCTTTTCTTTTCCACAACCTCCCAGCCACACAGCCCATGATCTGAAGTCAGAAATCCAAGGTATTCCTTAACTAAAAGCAAAGAAGTTTCAAGTCTCTCATAGCTTTATTCACACAACAGGCATACTAAGCAATTTCAACTCATTTTGAATTCTTATTCCTTTCTTTACTCCTTCTTCCTCTGTCTTCCATACCTTAAAAGTTGGGACAGAAAGTTGCTCAAAAGATGACGAACTTTCTTCACTTGTTGGTGTGTCAAGGTCTAAAGGGCGATGTAATGAGGATTTTGAAGTTCTTTTGTTAGTTGGATGCTTTACTGACCAGTTGATCACCTGGAACTGTGTAAGATAATTTTGGTAACATGCCATTACAGGCTGCTGGGAAGTTATTTGCTCACTTTCCACAGTCTTCTCAGATTCCATGACATACATGTTCTCAACATGCTCATCCTCTCCTCCCAGAGCCGAAACAAATGAAGCCTGTGAAGGATGAGTCTTAATTGGCAACATTTTAACATCTTGATTAATTTCTCCATGGATTGTGCTTGTTAAGGGCCCTTCCACACTGTGATAAATAGACCCTCTACTATATTCAATTTTCTGAGCTTGCTTTTTTCTCTTCTTCCTCCCTGGATAGGTTCCTGGACCTTCATCACTACTTATTGGCTCAAACTCTTCTGCTGCAGAAAAATAAGCTTCGCTATCAGCCATTGACATACTGGAATCCATTGAGCGATACTGGTGAAATGAGTTTGAATCTGCAGATGGAGTATACGGAAAAGAACCAAAGCTCCTCCTCTGCTTTGGGGAGTCCAGGACATTCTCATCACTGCGAGACACATCGCTGCTGAACTGCACACCAACTGGAACAGGCTGCTTGTCTCCGTAGAAGGCTGCCGTCAGGCTCTTGGTGCTCCCAAGCCGAGTGGAGCACACAGACGCTTGCCGTTTCAGCGGAGACCTCAGGGGAGACTGACCAACAGGCCTTTCCTGGTTGCCAGGGGATGCAGGGCTGCCCTCTGCACCCTCAACTGCAACACTGGAAACAAAAATTAAAGGTTCATTTGCTTATTTTATTATTAATGCTTCTCTCTTTACATTATAGAAGCCGTCAAATGCTTCAGTGATTCCATGACTTTCTATTAGCATAACAATTATTTTCATAGTGCTGATTACATACTAAATTCTGCCACTTGTTAGTCCACTTGCCTACATATAGAGGATGTAAAACCAAACATAAACAGCATGTGCTGTTGTCTTACATGCTGGATTTTCTACCCAGATCATGTAATCATCCCCTATTAGGGATCCAAATTTGCATTCTAACTAGGAAATGCATTTCAGCAGTATCATTAGAAAGTAACCAACACATTATAAATTGCTAAGTGTAAAGGGGTTTTTATGTCATAACATATTCAAGAGTTGAATGATACTTCTACCTGGACAGAGATTACTAACCTTCCATGACCATCCTCCCTTTTTGCACCAGACAAGAACTCCTTCTGTCCCAAGTGATCCTCAGCAGTTGACGATGGGCTGTCCTTCTCACCTGCAAGCAAGGGGAGTGCAGCACTAGAACTGCTCGTTTCCTCCGACGATGACGAGGAGCTATGGGAGCGCAATGGCACTTGTAGGCTTAGATGTTGTGCTTTTCTTTCTATTTCTATACCCATAGATCTGCAATCCCAATCTTTTCGTTTTACACCATTTGCTTTGCCTAGGATCAGAAACAGAAAAGAAAAATTGAACATCTGATAACACAACTGCAATGGTCTCTTTCCTGCCCACTGAAATAAAAATCCTTATTAAACAAAAGCCCTAGTTTTGAAATGCATACAGGTACTAGTATGTTGCAGTAACAAAAGTGAATAAAATCATAGCAGCAAAACACCAGATTGCCTTGGTAAACTGCTTTTATATAAGTAGAACAGATTCAAGTCAAAAAACTTCTTTTTACTCAGAAAGGAGTTGCATGTTAATATAAAAATTCAGCATATGAAAGTTTGCTCACTACTTTTAAGCTACTGACTGCACTTAGAAGGGCCCATGCCACTACAAGACCTCTTCCACAAGACCACAAGTACTACTCATTAACGAGAACTGGAAAGACTATAAACACCAATGCACAGTCAAGAGATTATATTTTTGGGCAAAACAGAATAAAATTACAGTACAACGCATTCTCACCATCTAAAATTTTAGGAATCTCCTTAGTAATTATCCATTCTCCTGGCTGCAGTAATGATTGCCCATAAAACATATCAGATTCTGCACTTGTACTTGAGAAAGCAGAGCTGCTTGAAGGTGTCAGTTCCTCCAGTTTGAAAAAATCTAGTCCTGTTAACGTGCCACCAAAGAATCGACAGCCACCAAGACAGCCACACTTGTTCTTGCTTCTCTTATTCCTCAAATTATCATCAGGCCACAAAAACCACAATCTATACAGAGGTAGAAAAACAGAAAACAAAACAAAAACATGACCACATCAGCCTTAGTACATTAAAATTCAGTGAAAACAAGACTAAAAGATATCCCCCTCTTATACGTGAGCTCCTGTTTCATCTGGCATGAAATGAGTAAGTAAGATTTGTATCTGAAATGCAAGTGTCAGACATAAAATGAAGGATTAACTCCAGAAAGGAGCAAATCACAAATATATATGCAGTGCTTAGGCACAGATGATGTCCACCTGCAACAGTACACACTAATAGTAACAACCCTTTCTCTCCGCATGGAGGCAAGCACTGCAAACACACTCCATGCCGGTGAATGTTGCTTATGCCAGAGGCAACTGCTCTTCTGGGAGAGACACAGACCACAGTTACACCAGGCATCTTGTTCACAGCTGTTCATCAGTTTGCTCAGGACTCTTTAAGGCTTGTTTTCAGTCCAGCCAGAGGACAAATTCGATTCCCTCCTCTCCCTGATCTTCATTTTGGGGGACAAGGGAAGGCAGAGGGAAAAGTTTTGCCAAAAATCATATGATTTTGTATAGTCCTAGCACATTCAAACCACCAACCCCATAGCTGAGGATTCAACATACTTAGAAAAAATTACAAGGAATTGTAATCTATGTAAACGAAAAAACCCTCAAAAGCAAACAACAAAGTTCCATTGTTAGAGAGATGTATTAACTTACACCTCCCAAAAAATTCAAATACATCTCCTTCAATCATATCTCTTACCTCTTAGTTCTGTTATCATGCGTTTCTAAGAACTGTCTCTGCACTTCATGTTTAGAAGGATGATCTGCGGCTAAAGCAATGTCAGCAGTGATGAGCCCCAAGTTGACAGAGCCAGCTTCCAGCCAATAAGCCCTCCTTAATATTGGCTGAAGACCAGTTCTGCAATTGTTCACTTGCTCAACATATTGTCTCAGTTGAAAGTCTTGAATAGCAGCGCTTACACCTTCTCCAACAGACTGGTTGTGGAGGTTGCAGTTTGCAATACGTACAGCACCCATCTGAAAACATGATTTAAAACATGAACTCTGATTAGTCATGAGTGAAACAAAGAAAGGGTAGCCTTAAACCAGTTAACACATCACCTTCTATATTCCAGAAAGATCACAGTAAACTATTCTCTCCAAAAAAGACAGAGAACCAGTTCAATATGCAAGCATGTGCACACACACAAAAGGAGGCAAGCTTAGAATTAGTTTTAGCCAGTTTTTAAATAAAATAGATCTCTACTTAGGAGTCTCCTTTTGTAAATGGATCAGAGAAGAAAGCTCATCTTAGGACAGACATTGTAATGAACCTTTAAAAAAATTAAATCATTATTAAATTCTTCATCGTCATCTAAACACCAAGAAATCTGAAACTTTCAAAATCAGATATATGATTTTATATGATATATATCATTCTATGTCCTTAGACTAAAACATAAATTATATAATTCGAATACAAAGCTGTATTAGAGCTACAATTAATAATTACCCCAGTGAGACAACCATGTTAAACACTGCAAAACTCAAGAAATTCTAGATCCTAAACCTTAACTGAGATCCACAGGAATTGTGTTATAGTAGCCCTTATATGATCACACTCTATTTCTTGTATTGGTGTAACACCAGTAGTTTTGTTGAACCAAACAGGAGGTTGCCACTCTCCAACAAAAAGCACAGTACTGGCAGGAGCCAACCCTCTCCAAAGACAAACCAGAAGTTCTTGCTCTACCCCTGCACTTAGCTGTGGAAACTGGTCGCTGTACAACTAACTCACCTGCCCACACAGTATCGATCCTCCCTGACACTGGTGTGCACTAAAAAGATGACCTAGCCCTCCCATACATGCTTAGTCTTCAAACTTCAAATAATCTGAAGACATTGGACCAAGTTTCTTGCACAGCTTGAGTCCTCTCCAAAAAAGACAGCATGAAGTACCTGAAATTTCAGGTCGAGTTTTCAAACTTCTCACAGGGAAAGGAAGGAAAGGTGTAAAAGAACCCAGCCAAGGAAGAGCTACCCATTGGGTTAATATTAAATTACTACCTCTCGTCTCTGTCACAGACTATAACGGAGGACTGGAAACCTTTTTTTTAATTCGAATGAAACGCATTCAGGATATAATTTCCTAGAGTGGTTCAGGTTATTAAGCTGCCTTTGAAAATACTGCCATTCATACTTATGCCTGCAAATATAGTTAATATTTGTGACGGTGCTGTTTAATATTGGACTCAAAAGAATTTGGAGACTCAAACGTATTTTTTTTATTGCCAAAAGGTAGAAAGCCATTCAAATGACAAGACACCATATAATTTTAAAAAAGGTCTAAAATAATTACCACTTTCCTTCAGTTGGATTCTTGTTCATAATGTGAAACTGTCCCCAAAACCTTACACGTAAAGTCTACCTTTTAAAACCAAATGTATTAATGGACAGCACAACTACTAGTCACTTACACCAGCGTAGCACTTTTCTCCTTTCCTGTTGTTACCATAACTCAATTGTCTCTTAACTTATATTTTGCTACACTGAGTAAATTATTGCAGTTTTCTCTTGTATGATAGGATAATGGAGAGAATATCAGCTCTTCTCTGCACATCCTTTTTTGAACAGAGGATACACCATGCAGTGTTCTAGATTCAGTCAGGCAGTGGCATTAACACTTCTTCCATCTCTACCAAAGATCATTCTTAATTCAAACAGCTGTATCACATAAGAAGATCATGAGTTATCAGGCATTGACTTGTATGCAATCCCTATCAATCATTTCCAGTTGCTGAGTTATTAACTCACAGCACAAGTTCTTATTAGCTCTTCGGTACAGACACTGAGATTTATATTGCCCAGTGTTTTCTTAATTTTTTTACACCATTCCTGCAGCTTTCACTCTTATTTTGGCAGACATCCACTCCTCCTTACCATTTTCTGAGATCATTAATGGAATTACTAAGCAGAAGCCAAATTGACCTACTCCTGGACCAATCCGAGCCAATCTTTTATCACCTGAAGTCTCAGAAATTCTGCTTAGTCCATTGCATGTAAGCCAGCAATAAATTCACGTAGCTATTCTATCAAAAAATACAAAGAACTCTATTGACAAAGAAGTATTCTAATTGCTTTTAAGAGAATTATTTTTACCTTTATATTGGTGGCACAGCCATGTTCTACCACATACAGATCTGCTCCATCCATGGCTAAGCGTGTCATAGTGTACTTTAAGTCATCAGATGTTGGGCATGGCCCAGGGACACAGTTCATCTGAAGGAAAAAAAAAAAAGGAAAAAAATAAACGTACATTAGGAGTTTTAGTTTAATTTGTGCTTATTCTTTTATTTATGTTCTGTTTAACAGAGGTCCAAAACTAGAGCAATAAAAAGTTACATATTCTACACTATGCACATGAGTATGAGATGGGGTGTTTCTGTGCTGAGGTTCATTTTCACTACTGCATGTTTAATTCTTCTGTCCAGCAATGTCAGGGGACACAGTGGGCTCTCCTGGCTTCCAACAGCAAAAGGCAAATCAAGTGTCCTAATAGAGAACATCACAAAACCTGGAACAAAACAAGGAGGATGTCGAGAGATGAAATCCAGGATTCATACTTAATATATGGCAAGCCTCCTTTGGTCTTCAAGTGACCGTGCACATGGATTCTAAGAGACAAGCACCAAAAGCAGAACCCACAATGACACGATGGTTAAGTAAGAGTTCTAGGTTTAAAAAAAAAAAAAAAAAAAACCACACACCAAAAAAACCCCCAACTTTAAAAAAAGAAAAAAAGGCACATGGAAGCTATAAACTGTCAGCTTAAGTCTCCCACCAAAGCACTCTTTCATCAACAGAGGATACAGGATGAAAAAGTACCATGGAAATGTGCCACAAGCATGAGGGGAAGTATGACCTTTGTCTCTTAAGGGATGCTGGACTATGCCCTTTGGCTCTTAACTGTCACAGTAGAGGTAAGAAACTAGGTATGACTTCTATGGATATCATTTCCAAAAATAATTCACAGAGCACAAAAACATTGTGCATATCCACACATGCAGAGCATTGGGGGGGAGAGAAATCCAGAGAGAATCCCTTATCTTTCTAAAACATAATTAGCTACAATTTATCAAAGAGAACATCCAACCTGACTATATACTCCATGTGTCTTGATAACTTTAAGGCTGAATTTCTAAGATGTTCCAAAGAACCTGTGCAAATACAGCAAGCAATTAAGATGGGTGAAAGGTTACCTTAGAGTCACAAAACCGACGATCAATTCCATGCTGGCATATTATTACAGATTTTGGCCTTTCCAGTTCAAACTCCCGGCACACCACATGAAATACAAAGGTCTGCCCCCATTCCAGAAGACACGCAAGCTGTAAGCAAGTAACAACACCTTGTCTAATAGTAAGGATACAAAATAAACTTTCTGTATTTGACAGAGTACTGAAAGAACATCACCTAAGGTTGTGAGGTGAGCAGGAATAACAACAGACAGACCCCATCGTAACATATCTTGCTTACACATAGTCTAGTTCCTCTTACTCAAGATTGATTTTTATTTCTGTGTGCACCACAACATGCAAGTCTCTGTAGTTTTTCATGGAAAACACTGTGACATTGAACAATTTCTTAAGTTATTTCTTAATATAAGGAAACAGCTTTTGCTATTACAGTCAACTGCGACCTTCACTGTAAAGACAGAGTTCTCCTTATTTTACCTCAAAAAAAATCACCTCAAAATACTCTATTACCATTCATAATTTAAACGTCAGACTTCTTTGTATATAAGTAACAAAGTTACATTCAGAAAGCATAGGAGGAAACTGGCTAAACAGAACAAAAAAAAAACCTAGTAATTAGCCTATTCTTGATTTAAGTCTTTTATATAGTTATCTCATTTATAAAGGAAATGATTCATGACTGACTGTCTCTTATGAGAGGGAAATGGGTTTTCTTTGGCTAGCTAAAGGAAAGGGTACTTAAAATCACCAGTAATTTAAATGGAATTTAATATAACTATGACTGTCCTGAACAAAATCTCTCCTGCTCCCTTTAGTGTTGTCCCTTCACCAATTCTTGCAATATATCATACTATGGGAGGAAAAAAGCCAATAACCCTGAAACAGCAAATTCAAGTTCTGCTCCATGGCACTGCTGACAACAAAAACTAAACTAAACTAAACATTCTGTATGAAGCATACAATTGCTAATGGTTTTGAAGGGGAAGAAAATCCTTCAGTTGCATCAAGCATTTAGAAATGTGCTCTAACATTAGAGTACTTTGAACCAACTAGTCTTCATTTTGAAGCACAGAACAGTGGAGTAAATACTACTGCTTATCTAAATCAGTGGTAGCATTTTGGGACATACTGCCACAAAAGTCTGTATATGTAGCATGAAAATGTATCTGGAGTCTATTCTTTAGATTTACTGAAATTGCTTGTATGCCTTATTTTGACTTTATTTGTTACAGAAATCTTCTAATGAAAAAGTGTTTAATCCTAGAAAATAATGCCAATTTTTAGACAAATAAGAGGATGCAGAAATGTCTTTAAAAATTTAAAAATAAATGAAATAGTTAACAACTAAATAGAATTTATGTACTTCTCTCATGTTTCTGAATAGACTGACAAAGCAACCTTTTTTAAAGGTCTGGCAGCCCACACCAGAAATAAATCAAAGTGATCTGCCTATTGTATACTTGGAGCCACTATTCTATATGGAAAAATAAAAGTAACACAAATAGCAAAACTAAAAGGAGTTAGTGCTAAGACTGACCTAAGAAAATCCACTACTGTGAAAGCAAACTATGTTGCAGTGGGACCATGCATCAGAATCTATGCAGTGAGCAGCATGACTGAGCTACTAGCTACTCTCCTGCTTAGGCCTGCCCACACTACCTTCCCACAAATTATCTCATTTGTCTCCTACTTTAAAATGTGGCTTTGTCCATAGCGTTCTATGGAATGCCAGAACCTCATCTGCAAGCTAAATTCTTGCCAGATGCTCAACTTGATATCCTTATTGCTGGTAGCATCCCTTCCTGCAAATGCCTACATATCTCCAAGCAGCTCACATCCGAGGGATATCAAACTGCCTTTCAGACTGCAGGCACAACTGAATACTTCATTTGTCCTTCCCAGAGAGTTAACCAGCAGGGGTAACAAACCTGCACCCCTGGAAGTCAGCATCACAAAATAAAAGTAACCTCAGAGGAAGTCAAAGACAACTAAGTCATCTCATACTTAAACCTTTTGAATAGATTTTCTTTTCTCCTCTTCATCACGTTACCTAGTTGATGGCTGAAGGCATCCAAAGACACCTGCTCTTTTTACACAAAAGTATTATTTCCTCTGAGATTAAACCACTTAAAGTGCATGTAGATACTGTGATTGCCTTTCTTCTCAATACGTTAACATACATAGATGTACACACATGTATGTTACATGTAGTGACAACAGTATTCACTACTGATTTGTTCGTGCTCTGTTACTATCATCCTTTCAAATTCTCCTATAATACTAGCCACCCTGTTACACCTAGATTTAAGATGCGTATCAGCTTCAGCTCATTTGGCATCTCCTATCCATTTCTAGAAATTATTATATTTTCAAACCGTAAAATTAAGGTTACTTAAGGTACAGATGCATCCACATTCAGCTGAGAACATGTCCTTTCCAAAAATCCATGCTACGCCAGTTTTACAAGACAAAAGGTAATACTTCAAAGCAAATAGTTTCTAGATAGTACCTGTGGTGCTGTAACTTTGGCTGTAAGACTTCCAGCCTGTACATCTATCAGCCATGCATACTCTAAAGTATCACTTCCAAGAGGCAGACCTTCCGCTGAAAACATTGCATGAGCGCGCAACTGCAGACCTGACAGGCTGATGTGACCCTCTCGAAGAACTTCATCCACTGCAGGTCGCTGTTAAGGACAAGTAAGTTAGAGCTAAAGTTTGCAAAGAATACATCCATAGAAAGTGCAAGAACTGTGTAGCCAGAGATACTTCATTTATGCATTCACCTTCACCTCTTAAATCTTGTTGACTTTTGTACAGCTAGACAGTCCCTAAACTTCTCAGCATTACCCACACAACAACATAAATGCCAATCTTACAGGGGGAGAGGGAAGTTTATCTAACCCAAGTTTGTTTTAATTTTTAGCAACTATCAATAACAACCTTCCCTTGGTGAACTCCACACAGTGACATCTACACACCATCTCTTAAATATTATTGCAATAAAATACAAACAAAGAATGGAAGAGCATGTTTAACAATGGAAGTGATCAAAAGGTGAAATAACATGACTTATGGAGGTTTCCTACAATCAGAAAGCTGACACATTATAAAAAATTAAAAATAAATTTAAAACTACCAAAGAACAAACATCAGAGGCTGTCCTCTAAGTTGCACTTTTCACTGAAGTATTTCTTGGCTACCTAAAGCAAAGCTACTTGTTTGCAGATACGAAAATTCAGATGTAACACATTTCAAAAGAATATTATTCCACCAGCCAGAGAAGAAACCGAAAAGATAGAAACAGCACAGGCATACACTAGAAGCTTGTGACCGCATGGAGGTAAGCTGTGGATTAAAGCCAGTAAATCAACAGCAAAACTTCTCCTTCATTCAGTTTTTTCAACTTTTTATCTTGCTTAGTTTGCTTTCCACTGTCAGCAAATCCTTTGGAGTTGCGTAGTGAAGAAGAAACATGCCCTACTCTTTTGATATCACTGGCAACCTATGTCTCAATTCAGAAGCTGTTTCAAAACAATATGAACGGGAAACATGAAGCAACAATACTTGCTCAGCTAGGCAGAGGGACAATTCCTGTTCTATATACATTAGTACTATGAACTTCTCACTTTAAGGTTGAACTAAGAAGTATCAAACAGCATTTTTGACATACGTAATACGAATAAAGGGTCAACCTAAAAAAAAAATTAACACTTCCAACATTAAATGGCAAGAGTTAATGAATCAGGACAACTTCCTGTGTTAACAAATTTCAGTCCAAAATCCTCACTGAGTTAAATTCATCCATATGTGCAATTTTTGCAAGTTTACTAAAATCAAAGTAGTATACAGCTAGCTGACAAGCCACAGACAACACTTAGCTTCGTCTCATTGAGTACTTTCTGAAGTATGGATTGTGACTCCCCCCACCAGAGGAAGACTGTAGGTCATAACAAGATCCTGACCGTAAGCTACAGATCCAGCTGCGTGATTTAGTTTAATAAAAGTCCTAGAGAATATGTGAAAGATGCAGTCACTCTATTTACTAATATGTGCAGATTTAAAACTACATGCTTTAAAAGAATGAATCGTACCAGTCTCTGCACAAAATTCACGTGTCTGAATTTATAGTATCTTTTAAAATGAAATTCTTTAAAAAAAACAAAATCCAAAAAACCCCATGCATCACACAAAACAAACAAAACCCCCCCCACACACAAACCGGAGATCACCCAATGATTATAAGACCAGTCTGAATATTACACTCTGTTTCCTAGAGACCCTTCTCCAGAAAGATTTCAAGTAAAATTAAGAAAGTATAGTCTTTTCTTTTGTGCATTTCACTACAATGCAAACTGGACAGAAATAAAGACCTAAAAAAACCACATGCATTATTTATGAATCATAAGAGGTATTAAAGAACAGCCTTAATAAACTTTGTATGTGTACAACAGGGAAGTTCCTAACAAAAAAAGAATTCAATTTTAAGATCATCACAATTTCCACAATACAGACACACATGCAAACATGTAAAAAACAGCTTAGTACCTGATAGTTGTCATTCAGAAACAAATTCACTGGAGATAGTACAAGTTGAAGCATTGTTTCTCTAAATCCTTTCTTCATCTCAAAACACAACCTTTCCAAGAAAGCTGTAGGGCACTCAGGACCATCTGGGCTGCAATGCTAAAATAAAAATTAAACACATCTGTTTCAGAAACTGAAAATACACAACATGGTTGAAATTGTAAGATTGGAAGCAAATCTGTGAGCAGAAAGTATGCTAATTTTCCTCCAAGCAGATACTCAAAAAGAAGCCTGTGCAACTTCAAAAACCTTTTGACAACTACATAAATAGCAATTTAAACCCATTAGGGTGAACTCAATTTTTTTTATCTGGATTCTTATTTGAATTCCTGGGGATGCCTCAGAAAGCAGCTGTGCAGAGTAGAATGCACCATTAGAAGACAGTTTTGCTAAATAACTGAGAAATCATAATGGTCAGTCAAAAATATTATTACACAAATCAAGTTCATTGAATAAAAATCATATTAAAAATTATCCAGTTCTGCCTCCCAGAGAAGCAAAATAAATCGTCTCAAATTGGATTAGATAGCCACGATTTTAGTAGAGAGTATAAACACACATTGGTAAGCACCACCCTAACTTAATGTTCCAGAGAGCTAAATTTAACTCCAGATCCTGAAACTAGAAAAAAAGTTACATGAAGCAAAATGTTTTAAGATTCTAAAGTACCTACCACTGGTAATCGCCCATGCACTTTGTACAAATTAACAAGCACAGTAATATCCCATGGGCGTAATGTAAGAGGGTGAACTGGCTTGACTGAACTTTCATTTTCTTTCTTGTCATTTTCCACTCCAACAGCTGTCCATCCAGAGCTTGAAGATGTTGACAGTGACAAAACAGGGCTTGAAACAACTTCTTCAAAATCAGTGTACATGTCATCTTCTCCAAAATAATTTTCCTAGGAAAAGAAATTGTTATGACCATAAAGAAAACAAATTAAAAACATACAGGCAGTGTAGTACAATACCAATCCAATCTTTTTCTGTATGTTAGTTCTCCCTAAAATAAGCCGTATAGCTGTAACCTATAGCTGAAGAAACATATATACTTTCATTTTATGAAAAAAGGATACCTTAAGTGAGCAAATTTAGGCCATGCGCTTCGCAGGAAAAGGGGCTCTCAGTAGTTCTCAAAGTGCTGGTATTCTAGACGCATGCAATACAAATAACTATTCTGAAGTACTACTGCTGACATTTTAAAACAGATTTTGTGCTTTTAAAGATAGATAACTTTGAGAGTAAGAACATGAAACACATCCTGCAGGAAGTCACTCTCATGCAACCTTCTGAAACTTGTTATCAGCAGATTTCAAAGTCTTAAACATGCTTCTAAAATATTACTTCATAAACACTTCTCCCCTTGGGTCTAAACCCCACCTTGTTTCTAAGCCAATCCCCCTCAATTACCTAAGACCAAAGTAACTTTGCCAAATTCTACTGGGAAACAGAAAATCCATCATTAATTTAAAAAGATTTTAAAAAAAAAAAATCCACTTCCTATGTTTTATTTAAGTGCACCAGAATCAGATTCCTGATTTGTCACCTCCTCCTCGCCTAAAAAAAAAAAAGAGAGCAAGCTAGACTTAGACTCTCAAGAAGAATCTTCTGAATGATGCACGTTATATTGTTAATTCAGTACGTGGGAAGTGTTGGGGACTAAGCATTCTGTGGAGCAAAATCCTTTCTGACCAAAGAGGTTAAAACACAGACACAAACATTGCTCCCTCATTCGTTCTTAGAAAGTAACTCAGTTCCTCAGCCTCTCATGTTGACAGAAATGTTCCAACCATTACCAACTCCACTGGTGATTTGTGAGATGCAGACAAATGAGTACTAGACCGAACATTAAATTGAAATAGGTTTCAATCTTGTGAACTTCCTTGCTCCCCTCCTTCCCTTTTCTGTGCCTCATTTGCTTTCCAAAATGTCTTTGTTCTTTGGTAAGCACAAGTCTGCAGCACAAGCCTGTTCAACAAAAAGAAAGCAAACAAATGCAAGGTACCTATGGCCTTGAAAAAGGCTACAGAAAAGGTGGGCTCATTATCAGCCTTGAAATGACGACTCCTGTGGACATGTAATTTTACCATCTTGTATTGAGTCTCTGGAGTATTTTTGGTGTTAATGCATATGAATTAAGCAGCTCTCTGTGGCCAAACCGAAAAAAAACAACCTCCAAAGCTAAGCAAAGCTAACATGCTTTGCTTTTTAGCAAAGGGAAAAGATAAAGGTCAAGGTTATGATACAGACCTAGAAATATTTTTAATAAGGCACACCCAGCAGAGGGTGCCAAGAACTCCAGTAACTTACTCTTGGTACCTTCTGCTGGGGATGTAAGGACCTATAAATCATTCATTCCCAGCCAGCAAGCCCTTCATTAAGAAACACAGTGTACTACACCAAAAAACTATCTCCCAAGAATAGAATGCTTAATAGAACTGCATGAACGATGCACGTCCAGCAATCTCTCCCACATGTACTAAAAAAGATCAATGAAAACAAACTAAAACCAACAACTCAACCACAAGTCAGGAAAATAAGCATACCCCCACCTCTGAAATCTATTAAGCGATGCTGCCAGCACAGCTGGACAAAAAGATGTAAACACAGTCACAAAAATACTAAAAAGAACAATAAATGAGCATTTTCACAAGTGAGCTATTAATCTAAATTTTCTCTTGAGATTTAAAAGCCAGACTTCATCTGAGAAATCTGCACCTAAAAAAATTAAATCATCATAGAATCAAGGGATCTAACGTAGTGCTGTTTACATATACCTCCAGAGGCAAAGAGCACTGAAGAACTGCTGCTTTGCTTGGAAAGACAGAACCATCTCATGAATTTATAGGTTCCAAAAGAGGAACTCAATAAACAGTTCAAACCTGGGTGCATTTCCTCTGTATCAGAAGAAATGAAGTCATCATGATGCAATACTGGCCTAATTTTAATCCTATTTACTTTTTAATCCTATTAGTGGTAACATGAAAAAATAATGAACGTATTTGCAAGTCTTATACTCTGCAAAAACTTAGTATCTTCTGTTAGTCACTGCTTATGTGCGATACCTTATATAAGAAGTTCATAAAAATTACTGTTTCAGTATGAATCCTGATACTCATCACCTGTCTCAGAAAATTCCTCATTCTCTGACCCAAAATGAAAGCTTTGAGGAACATTATCTTAGCCTAGATCTGTGTAGGCTAAAGTAGACCTTTAAAACAAACAAATAAGAAAAAAAAAGAAAAAACAAAAACAAAACAAAAACAAAACAACAACAAAAAAAACACCACAAAAAAACAAGAAACAACCCAAACCCAATCATTTCACTGCTAGTCAAATAGAAGCAATATGTTCAATCGGCTCTGCTTTTGTCACAACAAGGCAGGGTGACGGACGTGGAAAGAAATTAAACTGTTTCTAGCCACCCTGATGATCAGTAATGGGAGAGGACACAACATAAGCAACACAAACATTTTAAAGAATAATAGAATAATATCAAAAGGATGAAAAATTCTTCTTCAATATTGATTGAAGTAGCTTTTTAAATTAAAAACTTATTCTCATGTCCTTCCCCCTTCCCCTCCACGAGCCTAACTCCAGAAATTTCACAGAATCTAATTAAAACAAAACCAAACAATTAGGACACTCTGCAGAACTTAAAATGCCCTAAAAGCATGCGTTCTGATATATCTTTACATAAAAATGGTTGTTAATATAAGCACTAGTCATAATCATGGATTTTTATTTTTATTTTTTACTACTGCAGAAGTCAAAGAAATTTTCTGCACATGAAGCCCAGAGCATATACTATTCCTTGAGAGAAAAATTATGCTGATACACATCTACATATATATATTGGAAGTCTTCTCATAAGCCTGTGCCAACTGAATTCACCCCAGCTATGCCATATCAGCAAACAAAGTCATTCCAAACTAGTACTTACAAAAATTTTCATCTAAATTCATGTGTTCTGTAGAACTCTAATTTTCTATTTCAAAGGAATTATTTCCCTTTCCTACATGTGGCCATCCATAAGTTTTACGAGTTGAGTTCCTGTGCCTACCTTTATGGACAGAAAGGCTTTGAGCAGGGGTCCATACAGGGTTATCTGGGAATCTGGGGAGAGTTCCAGTTCCACATGGAGCTTATCCGGGGGCAGCTCTGAGGGATCAAGGGGAAGGCGGGTTGAAGTTGTGGGAGATGAAATCACACTCTCGGCTGTTTTCTGCGATGGCCTTAGCACAGATAACATTGTTTCTTCCATTTCTGACACTTGGGAGCAAAATAAAGAAGAAAATAGGTTTTGACTACAAGTTAGACTTCTGATGGACAAAATCCTGCAAATATGAACGTGTACTAAGTATACAACTTTTTACAGCTTTCTAATTTGGATAATATAATTATGTTAATATGTCTCTGTTACAGAACTGGTTTCTCATATCTAGTAACTCTGGGAAAACAGGAAAATATAGAATATTTTAGTCAATGTTGATTATGCTGGAGAAAAACAATCCTTCAAGTTCCGATAAAAAATTCAATTTATTTATCTTGCTTTTCAAGTTAAACAAAGACAAGCTTTCATTTCAGTGTAGCAGATTTCCCACAACCACACAGCTATTGCAGAATAAACAAAAGCAAACAAACAGGAAAATTGCAAAAGTTATATTAAAAACCTATTCTGAACTGGTAGCTCTGTAGGCCAAAATTTCCTCTCAAACAACTCAATTAGCCCAGTCACAAAACAGTTTGGAAATTCAAATCTTACTTCCTATCCCTTCTTTTTATTTGGAGTTAGGGAGAAGAACGCGCTTTGTTGTTCTTAAGTGAAGAAAGGCAACGAGAAGAAAGTGAATAACTAGAAGTGCTTTGGGGATGTAAAGCAACTGCTAGGAAGTAAAGAACTGTACAGGAAAACCATATAAAATGGGTTTGATGCTCCAGATGGAGTATGATTTCAAGTACCAGTTTAACTGGAAGAACCACCACATACAGAACTACACTGAATACACATCTGTAGTCAGAAAACCTTCAAGGCTTTAACTTACCATTATTGTCTATAATGCTTGTGTTGTTATGTGTTATAAACTAGCTAAATGCTGCAGTGAAATGACCACTTTTTTTTTGAAGTCGCATCTCTTGTAATGCAACATATTTGTTTCTTAGAGACTCCAAGAGTTCTATTGATTGACTCAAAATGAAATACAGATGTTGATACTGTAGTAAACACATTTTATCAGCATTACAGATTAGAAGTGAGCTGGACTGTGCTGGATTATTCATTAAAGGAAGCTGCAGACGAAATTACCTGTGCATGCACAAACTTTCAAACGCAGGTTCAATTGCTACGATTACAAGTAAATGTTTCCAAATTTGAAGTATACATATTTGACACAAGCTGACAGTCTCAAAAGAGCATTTAATGAACATCTGCAAGATGAATCTTACTTTTTCTGCTTCATCCTCTAAAATTTGAGTTCTTTTAGATTTGAACTGTTGGAACTCAAAACCTGAAAACGTTATCCAGCACATCTTCTAACACCTGCTGATTGAGGCCCATTCAAACTAGCCCTCATTATTCTTCTAATACCTCTCCTTCATCGGTTCTGCATCTCAACCTGAAAGACTTTTATGTAACCCCATAACTTCCTGCATACCTCCTCTGTATTTAAAATAACTTTCTCGTATCTCTGCATTTAAGTATTTTATTACATTTTTTTGCAAGTACATGCTTACGTAATATTTCTTATTTAGAAATACTGTTTAGACATTTAAAATTTAAAAATCATTATTTAGAAATTAGCGTTAGACTGATCAGTCTAACACTTGTATCTGATGGCCACTGCTCACTTCAACATTCAACATAATGCTAGCATTATAGAATCTTGGGTTCCATACCTAACACTCGTATCTGATGGCCACTGCTCACTTCAACAGTGCTAGCATTATAGAATCTTGGGTTCCATATCCATAAAGGTAAGACAATGTTATTATATCTCACATGTAATGTATTCAAACATTTAAATGCTACGACAGTATCACAACATCCAAAGGAAAAAAGCTTAGAAAGGCTAAGGAACATGATACTGTCAAAAATATTGTACTTCACATTAAGTATACCGAGTGACATTTTATGTTATGCAACAACCCATTTAAGAGATTCACTTTGTTAAGGACAAAGAAGTGAACTACAGAGAGTATCCTCTTTTACACAGGGAACTGGGACACATTCTGAAATTTTGCATCAGGAGATGTTGTCAGTTTTTAATTCAAACCTGGTGCATTCTAAAGATTAGCATTCTCCCATATGACATGTAGTAGTAGTTCAGTTCAAAATACATTTCTGCAAATTTAAGCAGCTTGATCCGACAAAGTCACAGCAGTTCCTGAAATGAAATGTGCCAACAAGAAAAAGGTAGTGACACTTACAGGATTGTTTTAACTGCTCATCTGCCTTCTGAGGATAAATTGGGTGCCATGAGTAGTCAATTGTAAACACAACACTCGGGACCGTCCAGCATTCAACCCATCCAGCCCTTTCAAAAAGAAACATCACACTTTTATTTGAAGTACAAAAGTTTCATTAAATATCTTCCATGAACATATGAGGTTGCTTTCATCACAAACAAAATAAGTAAATATGAAAAACCAGTATAAAAATATATGCCACAAGAAAACTCACTCTTCTTGAGTAATGTTCCTCCATTTGGGTTTGCCTGTTTTCTGACCACTTTGACATTCGGCAGAAATACAAGATTCAGGACTTATTTTATTAGGCTGACAATCTTTCACCAACATGAAAAGTGAGTATTTACTAGGATGACAATCTGGTAGATACAAATGAAGATCAACATCTTCTCCCTAAAATCAAACATTAGTAACAGAAAAGTTAATTTACATTCACTTTATGCATAACGCTCATGCTATTTGCATGTTCATATGCACCATCATCTTCACTTTACAGGCAAAGAGGCAAGAGATTTCAGTTTTCACGTGTGATTGCTGCCCACAGCTCCCATGCATTTCTAGTACAATCCCAAGAGGTCTGTAGTTCTGAACAGTTACAAGTAACAAGACACCATAGCAATCTGTACAACACAGGGGCATGGCTTCTAGCAATTCCTGTTCTTCAGTTGTTCAAGCCATACTGCAGAAGTTAAGCGGCTAGCCCAAGGCTACCCTACCCCAAGCCTCAACTAAACCATACATTAAAAAAAAAAAACTGGATAAAACATTGCTTTCTTTGCTATCAAATTACACAAAATTACCAACATCATCATTAACTAGTTTTTTATTTTTAGTAGCAGCAGATTGCTTCTATTTTAGGGAAGACAAGAAGTACAGTCTTTCAAAGAATTAGCTGCATCGTTAAGAACACTTTATTCTCATTACTTACTCTACAGAAACTCTTAAAAATCCAGAAGATGGCTTTCCAAAATGGTTTGGGGGTACCCAGTCCAGTATTTGATTTTTATCTTTGAACATATATTAGATTTTCACATTTTCTAAATAAATGGGAACAGACTTCCAAAAATACATACATAGACACACACAGCCTAAGTATATATAGTAAATATACATACTAAATGTGTGTATATATGTATGTATGAACAATGTGTATATATATTTTTAAAATTTTTTTTTTTGTGTGTATATATGTGTATATAAATTAAAACAGCCTATGATTGGATGCTTCACATATGCAACAGAAACCATTTACCTCTGGGTCACTTACAGAAAAGTTCTATGAACCAAAAATGAAAGAGAATATTTTTGTTTCAAGAAAGAGTTTATTCAAAATTTCTTGACTGGAGAAGGTAGGGAAATTATCTCACATTTAGAAGACAAAAGGGGTGAGAGGTGGGGAAGAACTTACCCTTAAAGAAAATCTGGTATTGCATGTGGTTGGAACAAAGTCAGTGAAAGGCAGAGAGAAAACAATGTTCAATGTTTCTCCGCAAGCTGCTAGATAAACTGGAAGAGGAAAAACAAAAAAAAAAAAATCTGTCAAAATTACCCCCCGTTTTGTTCTTAGACAAAGGATCAAACATACAGGTAAAAATAATGAAAAGATATTCAAGACCTCATAACAGAGAAAATTGTCACTTTAACTACTGCGTATTTTGAGTACATTGTACTAAATTATTCTGAAAGTATGTACTCCCTACAGCTTTGTCCTTTATAGAAAGACTCTCTACTTAGCACAATGAAATTGCAAGCAGACAATAAAAATAACTGTAACTAATATCTTATGACTTTCTTTATTGCTTCACACAGCAGTTTTTGGACAAGAAAACACATGTTGAAAGGTCCTCAGGCTTCTGATGAAGTAGTGAGACGTATTTTTAACTACAACACAACTTCATGATTTTTAATCCACCATCCTCTTTCTATGTTGAAATTATAAGATTCTAGTACAGTGTAGACCACCAAAATATATATAAACCAACTGCAAGTTTTGGCTTTCTGAAATGTCTAGAATTAGTAGCATTATCTCCTATTCTGCAACGAACAGGAAACAGATATTTCTAGTCATATGGAGTTCAAATGGTATTCTTCTGACATTACTTAAAAAATTTATTCCTGAGTGAACATTTTCAGTTAGCTTACTGAATATACGTCAATGCCTCATGGTTGCTCTCTACAAACTGTTGTACTAAATCAATTATTCAAAGAGTCTTTAAAAATGAGTGCTAGAACATGATCTAGAACTGCATTCTCCCCAAAAGAGGTATGCATTTGTACAAAGTCTGTTAGAACTTAAAACAGCTTTAGGATGGTTTATGCACATCAACAGTAGCAAAATGGTTAGTTATCACTGAACACACATTTTTCTAGTAAAAATTTTGTAATAATTCTTGTACTCTCTATCTATATATTTTGTACGTTTTTTTGTAGTATGTACTCTTCTTTCAAATAAAAAAGTGATCTCACCATTTTCTTGTTGTTTGGTGGAACAGTCAATCCAGTTGTGTTGATTTGCTGCCCAAATCATTTCAAATTGATGAAACATGACTTTGAAGTTCCACATATAAGGAACAAATGAAAAAATGTCAGGTGCACTATCACTGGACCAGTCTTGGATCAAATCTAAACCCATATAAAGTAATAAAAAAGACAAGTTAGTAGCAATCAAGTGAGAGATTTCTTTTAAGTTTTTGGCTTTTCATAAACCATAATCTTAACCGTTTGCTCCTCAACAGAGGAAGGAAAATGAGAACAATACACACTATGCATTTCTCGGGCAGATATTCCACAAATACTTGCTGTGAATCCATCTCCCATTCCTCACCTGCTTTTTAAGTTGGAAAGCCATAGGTTTAATTAAGTTTTCCAGTTTAATTTTGTTCAATAGCAAAGTTGCACCTTGACCTAAAAGCCCTGGACTACCAACTGCTTTCCTTTGGCTTTCCGCTCCAATACTCTGAATGCGTACATTAGTAATATTTTCAAATGCAGCAAAACAGCATCATTGTAGAAGTTCATGTTTTCTCTGAATAGATTGCTAGACTACGCTGCGTACTGCAGCACTATACAGGTAATGGCTCTGGCCTCACTAGGAGGATAACTTTATTAGCATGGCACTATGCCTGTACTAATTAATCCTCCCTCCCAGCAGGGCTAATTAGCCCAGGCAGTGCCACATTGATGGGGCTATATTCTTTCCATTACTGCAGCTGGAACGTTCAGCAACAGCTTGATGATGCTGTATCACACGGTACTGCCTTGTGCGCATGTATTCTTCCTCACAGCCAAAATCCTAAGGAGCAAATTACTTTCTCTCATCATCTGTCAGCCACGGGGATACAACCTAAAGCTTAAGTAGTTGAAAATCAGTCAGCCAAAGAGAGAGAGATCAGAGAAATCAACACTGTAGGTGACTAATATTAAACAAAACAATAGCGCTGACAGAAATAAATTAATCTGAAATTTAAGGTCATTTAACATAACTGCAGATCAAATCTAGTTTAGATGTTAGAAAATGAATTTTTTTGGTATCTCTACTCAAATATAAGAGTATCATGTACTTAGATACTTATAGACAACCGAAAACATCAGAAACTTTGTCCTCAGAAACAATTTGTTGTCCTAAATATGTGAAATCAGAGTACCCGACCATGTACACCTTTGCAAAATTTGAAAAGAAATTCTAAAGAAAGAATATTTAATTTGATATGTAACTTATTTAGTAAAGAAATTACCTGTAAAGAAGTTTTTCTGAGCAAAGATAAAATGATAGGTTGCTTTATAAACCTCAAGTTCACATTGCCATGTCTGTGGCATGTTCCATATCCGCGGATAGCTGGCATTAATATGAAACTGTGAACAAGATATTAAAGCATCAGAATTACTTGAAAAGATGACAATGCTTGACCCTGTAGCTCAGCAGTTTTCACATATGTACTCCGTTGAATAATTAAAACTGTTTTCCTGCTGTGATGAACAGAAGGCCTCTCCAGTTCCTTAATAATTTAATCTCTCTCTTTCTGTGTTTGAAGGTCAAGTGTTCATACATTCATTTATTTGGAAAGGTATACTATGAACTTCTGATACATCTGTTGCAGTAGACGTACCAATTTATAAACCAAAGTTTGCATTAAAAGCATCACTTTTCACAATACGCTAAAGATAAAATCCCTCCAAATATAATATTTTTCAACCATTGACACGATGCCCAACACTTAAACATTAAAAACATCACTCTAATAAGGTCATTTAAAAACCAGTAAGAAAGGTAATCTACAGAATTACACTACTGCAGAAGTGAAATACTATGCAAACAAAAGAATAACGCAGTATTAAATCTGTCTCAAGTAGTTTAAGTACTCTAAAGTACTTTTAAGTAGTTATGCACACACATTGTGTGTCACAGTTAGCAAGTGTAATCATTTATTAAGGTAAAGCCCATATGAACACATGGCTACATAGTAAATGAGGCAAGATTTGTAAACGGTACTCCAATCCCTCCACTGCTTTCAAAACACATATAACTTGGTACATAAATTAGTAAGTCACTGAAAGTTACATATGCACAAAGTTACGTGTGTGTATATATAAGCTCCTTACATATTAAGGTCTTGCAAAATACATTCAAAAGGCATATTTCTGTATTGTTTAAGAACCTAAATAACTGTTCCACATACAAATAAATAAGTTCTTTATTAAAAATCTTCTAGAGACTGAAGCTTTTTGCTTATTAACGTAAACTTACAGCTAGCATTTCGGCTTCTAAGAGAGTCCGGTACTGCATACTGCTGGTGGCATCAACATGCAGAAGCTGCCCTTTAATTGTAGGTGAATAACCTAGCAAAAGGAAAAAAAAACACAAAACCAAAAAAAAAACAAACCATAACCATTCAGATATAAGAGTTACAATTATTTAAATCATTTTCACTAGTGATTTCAGCAGTGCACTAACAATCAAGAAATATCATGATGGAAATTAGTATTATAATAAATCTGTCCTTTACTGTACGTCAATGAAGAGCCTAATGTGTTCTGCCTTCATGTAGGGGAGATGACAGAAGTCTTCTTGCTGGGTCTGCAAATGCTCAGTTTTGAGAGATCTTGGTTTAAATTGCAGACTAAAACTCAAATATGCCAGAAAGACTCAAGAGATCAAACAATTTAGCAAAAGGCTTCAAACCAGCCAACAAGATGAGCAAATGCAAGGAACATACCCATAACTTTACATTTATCTCTACTTCACCTTGAATTTTGCGGTTTGTTTTGTTTACATAAACTACTATTAGTTTTCATAATGCGTTTCTCAGCATGATTCAACTACTGCACTACACTAACCGTACTGAAGAAGTCTTCCTGCTCTGAGTTGACAACGTATCTGTAATCTGCTTCAATACACACAGTTAAATGATACACTGTCTAGTAGTTAAGGAATTTATGTTTCCTAACCCAAACAAAACATGGAGGTAACTTAACTATTTAAATACATACACATGCTTAAATATCTTGCAATGAAATGTACAAGAAAATACTTTTTGTTCCTTTACATAAAAATACACATCTTACAGTCACAAAAGAAAAACACTGCAAGATATTCACGCACATAGGAATTAAGAGAACCGTTCAGGAAAAAAATTAGGAAAACAAATTACGCTTAGCCTTAACTCACCATTTTCACCTACTGTCATGGGAATATTTATTTCCAAATATGATCCTGCACCAACATTTACATGTACAGCATTAGTCTCCTGTATTGTAAGAAAGGAAAAAAAGTCCAACCATTATTTCTAGGCTTGCCACATCAACCAGTGTACTTTATGCCTCTGGCCATAACTATCCACACCTGGATTAAAGCACCTGATGACTGAAGTCCTTCTTGCCTTAAGAAAAATTACTAATGAACTATCTACATGCACTGATACGAAATAGCACCATTTTAGGCTGAACAAATGCTGACTTAGGTCCAATAATAGAAACAGCATAAGAGATTCTGACTCAAGGCCCAAGAGGGCAGACGAATATATATTTCTAACACTAAACTTTCTATCCCTTTCAGTCACAAAAAAAGAAGAAAACAGGTGTACAAAGTCACACATCCCATTTATAAGAGTAGCAACAGGGGAAAGAAAAATCCAAACCCCTACACATAGGTATCTTTTATTCCCGCCACCACCATCTCTCCTGTAATATTAGATACTCATCCAATATCAGAAGAAATTATATTTTCATCGTGGTGAGCTTCATCTTAATGGAAGATTGCACAGAAGTGTCCAGATCATGAATTCCCAAGACTCTAAGAGCCGGCTTGGTTTAAGATGTAGCATTAAGGCTTAAAAGAAACTTAGAATAAGCCAACAAATATTAATGCCTCTCAGCCAGTATTTCTCTTTGAAGGGTTTGCTCATAATTATGGAAGACTAAAACAAAAATTGCCAAGCTTTTAAAACCATAGCTCTGTAATAAACACCCAAGACAAGTAAAAATACACACAGCCAAAAAGCAATCACGGTAGACAAGTTATTTTCTAGATAAGTTTTCATTATTTACCCTATTTTTGGTAAAAAGTAAATCAATGGTGGCATCTGCAATAATATTCATCCGCAGTTCAAAAGCGAGAATCTGTCTTGGTTTCCCAGGCTGAGCAATTTCTGACACTTTCATAACTTGGTAGTCTGGTGGGAAGAAAAACTTCCACAAGCAATCCCTGGTGGAGAAGAAGGGGGGGGGGGGGGAAAAAAAAAAAAAAAAAGGGAGTTGTTTTTATTCATAGAAGAAATAGATACATATTTATACATATTTATACATCTATTTGGTTCAGTTAATTATTTTCCAGTTAGCTGAGTCTTTAGACAATCACTGGATGTGATAAGAAGGAATGTTTCTTTAAAGTCTTCATCATAGGAGCCTTCCAACTCATTACCGAAATCTCCAAAAGTTTCAATGACAAGAAGTGACTTCTGGATAAAAGTCATAAATGGACAGACCATAAATGATTTAGAACAAAAATATTTTAATTCAGATGGCAAACAAGCTACATTTTTCTTCTTATTCCTAATCTTTGGTTTACAAATCTGCTACAAGAACAGTACAAAGTAATCAGTTTATGCTTCGGTATGTGCATAAATAATTGATGTCATGCCCAGAAATAAAGAATACACAAAACTTTAGGACCTCAGAATGGGAGTGAAATGAAGCCTACATTTCTGCAGACTTATATCTGTATGTGCAACTACATGAAAGGAAAGCCACAGTGATGAAGCACAGACAGCATAGCTTATATAGTAGGAGTCAAGGGGGTGGAAGTCAGTCTTTAAGGGGGTTAAGAGTTTCCTGTACCCAGCATTTGACCAATAAAGCAGCTTAAAAGTTTAAAAAAAAATCAAAACAAAACAACCCAAACCAAAACACAACAAAAAAAACCCCAACAAAACCCCCACAAACACCACACAACACATACTGTCAAAATCCTGGGGAAACCAAAGATTTTATTGCATGATGTATTAAAGATCAGTAGTTGTAGAAGCCCTTATATGAATTGAGAGCACAAAGTCCACAGAACTCCTACAGATCTGTGCTTCTAAAACATTCAGGCACTTTCCAAAATTCTACCTTCTATCCAAGGCACAATGCAAAAGTGTTCCCAGGTATGTATCTACGAACTCTACACGCTATGCATACGCACCAAACTGCCCTCTGTCTAGTCAGTTAAAATTATTAAAAGGATACCATCAGAGAGCGAGCTTTCTTGGTAGTATTAAAAATATCATTAATGATTCACTGACTTCATGTTCCGAGCAAAGCACTGCTCTGGAAATTGTCATTTTCTCTTAAATTCTCTAAGACACTGTCGTATCTAATGACTAGACTTTGGTCTGCCATCCTCACACTCCTAAGAGACAGTTAATCGTAACAGTTTCACAGGAGAATTAATGGAGGCCAAGAGGAGTATCAATCTGTAATTAATAGAGGAAAAGAGGGAAAGCACTGATCGTGTCACTTTTACTTAATAGTCCTTTACTCTCTAAACAATCCTATTGTCTCCACCAGAAATACTCATGTGCAAAACAGAGGGCTAAGTGAAGAACAGCAGTAGACCTCTGGCCTCATACCTTGTCACTAAAAGATCTAGATAATAAATACTTTGGAGACTGCATCAAGCAGTTGATTCTTCCCTCATTTTCATAGCTAATTTGTACTTCCATAAAATTTTCTCAAAGGGCAGTGAATTCCCATCCATGAGCTAACAGGAGCTTGACAAGTCAAAAGGTAACCAATTAACAGGTTAAGTGCTTAGGTATGCAACACCTGATAAATAGTAAAACTACTTTGTTCGCAAAAAACAGGAACATCACTTATTAACTTAATAAGAAAAATTCCTAACTTTGGAAGGCCAACAAGATAAACAACAATAAATTTACTAATCTGTTCTGGCTTTGGTTAAAACAGGATCAATTCTCCTTTCAGTAGATTTTCCTTCAGTTAAGTTTCTTCTAAATCATTGTAGCAGGGCTCTTCTTTTAGACTGCCTAGTCTACCCCATATAAATTAGAAGTCTGAGCAATTGCACACTGGAAACTTTTCTCAATAATAATAGATATTAAAGATTAAAACTAACGATGTAAATCACTGTAATACCTCTGCCTATCAGCCCAAGGTCCATAGTTGAAGTCCGTTCCTTTTCCACAAACAATATCCAAACCCCAACATGGTGGCAAATCCTGTAACTTGCTGTCTTCGTTGTTTGCTTCTCCATCGTTACTTTCCTCCGTCTCCTCTGGTACAAGACCTATATTACATAATGCAATAAAGAGATTATTAAAGGAAGCTGTTTCAAATTAGCATGAAATATGTTTGCTAAGCACAAGACAAATAAAGCGTCCTGATGTCATTTTTATTTGAGAGCACTACAGTACGTAAATATCAAGCCACAATTCAATGCAGTCTCCCAGTAGAAGGGCAGGAATATGATCAAAAATCCTTGGGATTTTCGGAAGCACTGCTCACTGATGTTAGTGAAATGCTGAAATATACAGCAGTTTTACATTTTAAGTATGCTTTTTACCAATACAGGCTTTCCTACATCCACATTCAGTTCCAAATCCTACTTACAAATCAAGTTTTGAAACAAAGAAGATGAAGTTAAAATAATTTCTTTAGATAATGCAAGCAAATAAAAAGGAAGACTTACTACAGTAGACCCAGAGTTACTAGTAAACATTCAAGCAGTCATTCAGCAACGATCCAAAATTGCCACCTATCCTACACCAGTATACATCATTATTGACCGTGTTACCTTTGTTCAAGATTCAGGCAATATTTGGAAGTGGAGTCAGAGCAAAAACTTTTGCAAAACAAAAAAAAACACCAGTAAAATAAAGTGGTAATATAATGTACTGGATTTAAAGTGAAAAAGACAGAGACCACAATGTTCAGAAATTGATGCATCAAACTTCCCAAAAACCCCAGTAGGTATTGACTATAAATTGTCCTGACTGCTGATGTACTTTTAGAAATCTACATCATTTAAGTTTAAGTTTACAGTTTACTTGTTTCAAGAATAAATATGAAGATTAATTGCTTCCGTGTTGCATACAGATTTGCGGAAGGCACTGCTGACAGAGTACCTACATCTATTCAAAACTACTAATTGATAAAAACATCAGTTCTACATGCAGAGTTATTTCATCTATGGAACTCCCTAGGCCTCTTACATTAAAGGGTCTAAAGATCAACAACCACCATTAAAAAGAATGCAGCTCAAAATTCCACTCCCTTCTAAATATGAAACAAGTGAACTCTCTCCCATTTGTTTCAGTGGAAATTTTTTTCATTTGCAGAAAAAATAGCTTATGAACTTTTAAGTTAAAAAGTTTATGAACTTTATTGGCTCCAAAACATTACAACTCTTTCACCATAGAGATTTTTCAGCATTAAAAAAAAAGAAGAAATTGTCTAGCAAGTCCAGACAATTAAACATATAGCCTTCAAATCCCTCAAAACTTAATCTTTGTATTTAACAGAAGGTACCTGGTTCATCCATATAGTAATAGATATCAACATCATTGGACTGCATTACAACAAAACCTTCACCCATCAGCCTCGGTGGTCTGTAATGGAAAAGAGTGCAAAGATAAAGATTAAAAAGCAGTGCACTGGGATTAATCTTTATGAATTCAAGTCATTTTAAATGCAACAGATTAAGCATCATGGAAAAGATTACATAGGTCAGGCTCACTTGTAGCTTGTAAGTAGTACATACCTAACCATGGAATCATCAATAAAACTGCTATCTACATCAAGCAAGCCAACAGTGGAGATACAGCATATGTGGTACCTGAGCAGGAAGATTTTGTGGGCAAGACTCAAGTTTGGTGTCCCAAGACACCAGCTCCATGCGTCTGTGCTGGTTGTGCCAGCAGCCTCACTGCAGGCTGCCTGCAAGAGCCACAGGCTACCTTATCTACCAGGCATCCATCTTGTCACATCACCAGAAGGGTGGAGGGAACAGACAGAAGTGCCTGGGCCACACCACAGTCTGACCAGATGCAGCCGTTTATAAGCTAAATTTGAAGAGCAGGCTATAACTTCTGCTCCTCTCTTCCTCTCCGTATCATACCATGATTCCTGTTCTATCTGCTACCTCAGACTAAATAAGCTTCTGAAAATAAACACTGTGAGTATTCAAGCCTATCTGGTCTCAAATCTCCTATGAAAAAGGCAGCTATCATATTGGTAGGCTATGTCTACCCTGATTTGCACAAAATACTTGATCGTTATGTTATTATTAGTAGTAGTATTAGATGAAGTAACACAAAAGTTTAGTTAACTCAAGCATGAAGATACCAGGTTCCTCTCCACAAAGACATTTATCAAGTATTATACACCATAATCAACTACCAAAGTTTTACTTTCAATGTTTCTTTCCATCAAAAGTTCCTTTCTCCTTGTCCTACATCTTTCTTTCAACTGCTAATTGTTTTCTTACTAAAATAGCACTCTAAACCGAAAGGGACAAGACAACGTCAGTAATTAGACCATTAGTTTAAAAAAAAAAAAAAAAGAAAAAAAGAAAAAAAAAGGTGTTCTTCCTCAATAACTTTTCCCTCCATATAAAAGGACCTGCATGATAAAACTAACACACAAAACATTTCTCCTAACACTCTTATATTGCTATCTTACAATCCCTTTCTTACAGTGTCACCACATGTTAATTCACATAATATTACATTTTATAGTAGTAATAATACTATAATGTGAAAGTTCTATTTTTACTGCAAAATACGTTTTTGCAACTTTTCAGCCACTTTCATAAGTCGTCACTTCTTAACAAAAAAAAAAAAAGAAAATTCCAATGACAGAAATACACGATCTAAGAGCGTGACCTGTTAGAAGCACACTGCCTGTTTTACCACAGCTCATTTCCAACACAAGAAACCTTGGAAAACATTTAAGTCAGCAGATGCAGAGTTCATGTACTACCAGTTCTTCAAAAGCAACAGAGCAGGAACCTTGAAAACAATTTTACTTTGAGAATAACGACAGCAGTGAAAGATGATTCACTCCTACTTTTCCAATTATTCCTTTTTTCTGTCCAAAACTAAACTGGCCTTCCCAATGAGATGCAAATAGAGTAAGACGTGAAAAAAATTGTTTAGTGGTTGAGGAATAGAAGTGGGAAGGAAAGCATTTAGAGATATATAAATAGTACTTCATGGGAAAAGTTGAGTTTATGCTGCCCAGACTCCTCAAAAGGCACATGCAGGTCAGCAAGGCTGGAAAGCACTCCGCGGCACAGCACCGTGAGTTAGTACCTTCGGCTTCTCAAGCTGAGCATACACACCACCAACCGGGGCCCAGAGGAAGCCTCTCCGCGGGGTAATGCAAGAGAGGGGAAGCTCACAACATAACCAGCTGCGAAGCTTAGGAACCTGATGGTAACTTCTTCGGCCGACACAATCATTTGCCCTTGTCTGACTATACCCTCTCCAGGGCACACTGTCAGACAAAGGCTGCATCTCATTTCAGCAGCTCAGCATTTGACCACGAAGGTCAGGCAGCCACAGTGTGAGGTGGCCTGGCCATGATGGCAAACTGGACTTACTCTGCTGCTCAAGCTGGTATATGTTCTGTTCCTTGAAGTACAGCCTACTATACCTCTTTAACAAGATTATCATCATCATTAATAAAATGTTTCCTAATATCTATCCAAACGTCCACTTTGAGCCCGATGACTTAGTTACTGCTCTTCAAAATTGTTCTGCTTTGATCTGCTTTTCATAGTACAATATTTTTTTTCCTCTGGTTTTGAAGGATTTATTTGCAAAAAGTGATAAAGGCATTGAGATGTCTGCCTGTAACACATGACAGTTTTCAAGGTGGGTTTTTGATGTATTGATTAGTCAGTTGCAAGTTTTATCAAGTCACCTAGCTGGTTTTTATATGTGCGTTGCCTGCAGAAATTTCTGAAAGTTAAGACAGCCTAATTTGTAAGCCAAAGAAACATAAGAGGGCAGGCTCGAAAGATTCAAACATTCCCACTTTCCAGTGAACTGGGTCATTTATTGAATCTACCTAGTAAATTAAGGCACATGTTTTCTGCATACATGCCATCCTTCAGGCATCAGTAGCTGTAGGGATGGTAACAACAGAAAAAGAAAATACTTAGCAGAAGCAGGAGAAAAAGCTAATAGTTTGGCTATCTTAATCCTATTTTGTTTTAATCTTGTTTGTTTTCAATATTAATTGGAGAAACTTCCTTTGTCGTCATGTTGGAAGAGTAAGATTCTGTGCACATCCACAGAATGTTATTTGAATACATAGAAAGGCATATTATAGATGGCAGTATTTGGTTGATACAAAGCCAATTAAGGTACAGTCAAATGACGTACAGTTATCTCCAAATATCATAATTCATTCTCTGGATACTGTTTCTTAGAAGGTACAAAATAGGTATAACCATTTTACATTAAGTCATACGTACAACTGTCCAAGGATAGTACACATAATTCATTTTTTGTTGAGCAAATAACACTTGTGAAAGACTTTGAAATTTAACAGCTTTGTCCAAATCATCTGTGGAATATATAACATTGTAAGCATTAAATAAGATAATGCAGAAAATTCTGGCTAGGATGTTCATACCATATCAATCAAGAATGGTAATATAGTTTGCACATAGATGTCTTGCTGGTTAAAGTATAATAGAATGAGAATCCTAGTGTCAAATTCATTTCTTTTGTTTGACTTATTACCATTCAGTTTGTTAAAGCTGCGTAATGCTGCTTATGTGGAATACACAGAGGTAAAAGGATCAGCAATCTGTCTTCAAAAGATAACATGATTTCTACTACAGCAAGTATTGCGCAGCTTTTGCCCATTTTTAAAAATATTTTCCAAACCATATGCAAATCAGCTCTACAGAAGTCAACACCTTAAACCTTGCATTTATCCTAGAAATTTAGTGCTGTCAAAGCCTGTGTACAGCTATAATACCTAAGGAAAATAAAAGTTGAATGCAGAATATTAATCACAGAGCAGAACACACCAAAAAAAAGAGACAGATAGAAAACCAGTACTTTTTGCCATGAACAAAAGAGTTTCAAAGATCCGACATTTAAAACCTTCAGAGTGGTAAAAATGCCAACTGTCTAAACACACTGAGAAAAATAAAGTCACAGAAAAACAACTAATATTATTTTCTTTGTTTTCTTAAAAAAAAGAACAAAATAATATGGAAACAAAAAACCCGAAAACTTACTCATCATTTTGAAGACCAACATATCTCGGACTTGGAACCAGCATGACTCTAACATTTTCCAATTTTCCTTTCACAATGTGCATAAACTGGTCAAGGTGGCTTGAAGGCGGTTTTGTGGTATATGTCAAAAAAGCATCATCAAAGTTAATACAAAGTGTTTGTGGCTGATAATGATTCCCAAATGCCAAGCGACCCTAAATCAAAAAGAAAACCCAATTACTTGTTATACACTCCTCTTTTCTATGTATGTATATATTTACCTATAATAATGCAGTTTCACCAGCCATATGCAAACAAAGACCGTAGACAAAAACCCTGGCCATAATCTGTGCATATCTAAAAATACTACCTTGTACATTAAACTCTCAATATTCTATCTCCTATCACCTCAACAACAGCTTTCCTGGTTTTTTTGGGGGAAGCAACATCAACTCTTAAGGAACATGTCCAAACATCCCTATTAAAAGATGCAGGGAATAAAACAAAAAAAGAAAAAAAACACCAAACACCCCCCAAAAACCCAACACACCACATAATGTACAACACCCATTACCTAGCTTAATCACTTGGTGATTTTCTTGAAATCATTACAAGTCTAAGATACACGCATTTCCCAAACCAGGGAACATAACCACATTTCCATCAGCACCAGCAGGATTTGTGACTGGGTCAGGGGAGTGCTGGTGGTGTAATTTCAAAACTTTTTTGAAGCAGGAAGGAGAACAAAAAGTAAAAAAAAAAAAAATGTATAAAAAATGAATGGCAAGCTTGATTTTTGTCAGGGGAGTGCTGGTGGTGTCATTTCAAAACTTTTTTGAAGCATGAAGGAGAACAAAAAGTCAAAAAAAAGGTATAAAAAATGAATGGCAAGCTTGATTTTTTAGTATATACTGCTAAATATTTTCCTTATCAGAGTCTTTTCACTTACCGTGCTCACATTGACTTTAATGACTGGAATAAGTGATCTCCATGAAGAAGAAGGGTCTTGAGATTCTGTTCAGGAAGGAGAACAAAAAGTAAAAAAAAAAAAAATGTATAAAAAATGAATGGCAAGCTTGATTTTTTAGTATATACTGCTAAATATTTTCCTTATCAGAGTCTTTTCACTTACCGTGCTCACATTGACTTTAATGACTGGAATAAGTGATCTCCATGAAGAAGAAGGGTCTTGAGATTCTGTTTTTACTTTAACACTACAGGGAAAAAAATGGGGTTTATTATTTTGTCTTTTCTGCAGAAGAACAAACCAATCTTTTCTTCTAGGGGTCTTCATTGCACAGATCTCAGGGAACACTCCCTCCCACAGGGATGCCTCCTGTAAAGGACCTGCTAGCAGACTACTGCAGACTCCTCCAGAGCCTGGAAGAAGAGCAGGAAGCATGTGCCTTGGGTGCTGGTGTACGGAGGTGACACAGGTAGAAAATAAGCATGTCGTGTTTAACACAGGGCAATAGTTGAATAAATCTTTCTCGGGGGAACTTAGTCTGTTCTAAATATTCCTGTTTTGATGTGGAATTTTTCATTTCCCAAGACATGTCCTCCCCAAAGGCAGAAGTCCTTCCTGTACCTGTCAACAAGGGCGTAAGATCGATGTGGGATTTTTCATTTCCCAAGACATGTCCTCCTCAAAGGCAGAAGTCTTTCCTGTACCTGTCAACAAGGGCGTAAGATGAAAGAGACTGCCTCAGAGGCACAGCCCTTACTCAAACTCAGGACTGCCACAGCATCCAGCAGCTGCCCACTAGGTAATTTAGTAACACGTACTGGCCTGGTCAGCAGCAGTGGAAGGACTCAAGTTTCATTAGATCTTCTCTGCTCCTGCCAATAAATCAGTCTGGTGTGATTCAGCCCAAAGAGAGGCTTATTATTGAACATCTGACTCCACTACACAAAAACCATGTAGAAGAACTTAGAGACCCACGTCATGTTTTCTGGAGTACCCCAAAAAGAGGAATAAAATAAGAAAAGAAGGTTTGTGTAGCTATACACAAACACACACCCCTAAAAAGACAGCTTGTGAAAGCCTGAGTTTAAAGCTCAAAAACCAGTAAGTCCTCCCAGCACCATACAGATCCTCACATTTTGTCTATTTAATGTCTTGAGCAGCTATTACTTCTACTGAGCCATACCACTATTACACTGCAATAATAATCCTCTTCAACACAGGCTCACTTTCCACACTGTACTGTTTCAGATAGATTTTTCAACCTCTGATCATTAAACAAGGAGTATTTGGTTTGTTTGCTTGTGGTTTTTAATTATTATGGTAGGAAGTCTTGAGGAACGGAAAAAGATTTAGACTGTCAGGCTTGTCAGTGCAATTTCTCTCTCGGCTGTACTTCAACCATTTGGCCTCCAGAGCATATGTTAACAAAACATTACCCAATTAGTTCAGCACTTTGCAGAACAAAGCATCAACAAAATAGCAAAACGAATAATAATTTACCTTTCAAGATTGGTATGTGTTCTCTGTCTCCCGTTTACTTGTGCTTTTTCATCATCTTTCTTTGCTGGAATTATCGTGGGATCCAAGCCAAATAGTTCTTGAAGTTGTCCATAAAGCTCAGAACGGTTGTACACGTGAAATTCAAAGTCATTCACCATAATATACAGTCGTGTTTCTGCCTTTGGGTCTAAACCAATAGTAGGAAAAGAGTTTCTAATTCTATTCCAACATTCCCTTGCAATAATTTTGTAAGACCCTAGTTTTTTCAAATATGCACATTTTGCAAAAACAATCTACATGGTAGTGAACAGTACAGTAAAAAGCAGTAAAAAAAACTCCACAAAATAATTACGCCATTCCAAGCAAATCAGTAAAACTAGGCAAATCAGACAGTTGCACACAAAATATAGAACCTGAAAGGCATTTCACCCTTAGGTTGCAATCCAAAAATAAATCCAGGCAGGAGCTGCACAAAATGGTAAACAAGGTTTATTCAGTCTCATATATAAAAACCAACAAAAATCCCTCAGCACAGAAGCCTCAGTGCCAAACTCTGCTTTTTAGCACAGATATCAGTACTTGAGACCAATTCAAACTCAAAAGTCTAATGGTTTTCTAGATAAGTTCTGTGGTACAGCAAGTCTGAAATGGGAAAAATCTTTCTTTTACAGAGAAACAGAAAACATTCATATGCACAACTAACAACAAGCATACTCATTTCGCACAATCAGTCAACGTTTTCACAAATTTAAAATTTTAACTATAATATCAGCGTGACTCTCTGATACTTCAAAACTAGTTTAACATCTGTGGATTGCATACAGAGCTGTCTGTGATATACTTTGACATACTTTTGCCTTAGATAGTATGACCTAATTATGTAGTTAATGTGAGGAAAAAGCATGCACAATTTCCCCCTAATTACCCAGTTGAAAGAGTGCCCGTTACACATTCACTCAGGAGACCTGAGCTGCTCTAAAACCTGATCTGGTCTTTCTAAGTCAGATTTTAGCAAGCTGAAGCATCAACAGTTCCCCAATCTGTAACTCAGGGGGTACAAACTAAGGCAAAATTTCCAACAGACACTAGAAATTAAAAAGTCAGAGCAAATATTGCTGCTGTTGTGGTCAGGGTCAAGAAATGCAGCTGCCCAAGAGCCAAAGTTTAGAGACACCTGCTTTAATAAATGTATCCTCTTTGCCAACAAACTCATCTGCCCTCAATGTTACGCATCTATACAACACGCTGTCCCGACAGCAGCAACCAACCTTTTACCCTTCACACCTAAATTACCAGAAATTTCTATAACATTATAAAAAAGGTAAATGTATAATAAGTCTCCAGAAAGCACTGACATCATAGTTTTCTTGAACAGGAGACAGAGAAAAGTTAATGAGCCAGTTTCAGTTCCTTTCTGTTTTCATAAAAACACTATCAAATCCATTCATTGGTAACGTTAACTTGCATCAGTAACATATAGGCAAAGGATGACATGGACAAAGATTGGGATACACGATTGTTCACCTGGAAGATCTCAGTATCATCGAGAACACAAATAAATGTAATTTTTCAGTTCCTGGAGGCAAGCATTAGACGTCATTAACTAAGTGAAATCATAGGTAGTAATTAATTTCTTTAAAGGGGATTTAAAGAGACAACTATCCATTTTTCCTAATAACAAAAATAAGATTTGACCTCCACACACCAATTTGGTTGCTTAAGACACTTTTGGAAAAGGAAAAAAAAAAAAAGGGCAAGGAATAAGAGACAAGCACATCTGAATGTCATATAGTTAAATGATTCAAAGCAGCATACACGCAAGTCACGTAAAAGTAACTACCAGATTGATAGCAAAATACTGAAGTTTTATCAACATCTGTTGGAATCAAGGTGACTAACGCAGCTAAGGTTTTGACATTTCCCTACTACAGAGTTTAATCAAAATGTATTGTTTATTATTTATTCAAATGTTTGTATCCCAAATAATTCAACATAAATACACCCAATAAATAAAAAAGAACAGGAACATGACATAAGTCACTCCCAACAATAAAAAGCAGAGGAATTTCGTTCTCTAAACAGTATTCTCCCTTCAAAAAGTACCTCACAAACTACACTATCTGATTTTACAATATGAAAATTGATAATCTGCTGTGGCATTTAAGCCGAGACATCTAGATATGCCCTATTCACAACACAATCCCCCGACTTTTGTTCCTAAACCACTTTTATTTCTCCAGTATGTACAAAACCTACTCTCAAGTACCAGTATGATTTAACTTAACACTCAAGGCAGAAAGACAACCCACGTACTTGACGACTTCTGTGAAGTTCTTTCAACATTGGCATGACACGCCTAGTACAAACATAGCACCCTCATGAAAAACAGATTGCACTTGCTAGGTCAAAGTGAGGAACTTCTAAATAAACCACAGCAGGAAATGCAACTTTAGTACAGGTTATCAATAATAATTATCCAAACTTTCGGGGTTCAAACCTCTTATGCAAGGAACTGTGATTAAGTCTTTATGAAAGCATCCTTAAATTACAGTGCAATCCAAGTCTTACAGCAACATTTACTTCAGATTCCAGTGGGCAGGTAGACAATGCATCAATTTTGATAGGTCAGTTTTCCTCTTCTCAGAAGAAAAGTAACAAAATAATTCTCTTAGCTTTAGAATGTGAAACAAAACAGAACACAAAGGATTTTCATTCCTCCTTTTTCTGACACAAAGGTTTAATAGTAATGCTTCCTAGCATCCACCACTGTAATCTACCCTTTGATCATAAACACATATTGACTACCAGAAGTTAAATAGAAAGAGCATACCATAAAGCGTTTTGCAAAGCACATACACCAGAGTGAAGGAAACTGTACTCCAAGTTTGTCCTTTTTTTTTCCTAATAACCTTCACTTCTCTGAGAAACCTCAGATCCCGCTCCTCACTCAGTTTTTGTTTCTTTGTGTCTCCTCATAAGATTTGCAAAGTCAGTGGATCTCAGTGGGTCAGCAGCAACTGGCAGGCACTGCCACGTGCTTCAGCTCCTCAGGAAGAAGGCTGAGAAGCCATGTGATTAGAAACCAGTGATCAGGGAATAAAATATTCCCAATAACACATGAACATATTCCATGGGCATGTGGAACAACGCTGGATTTTTCTTATGAACAGCAGTAACATCCTGGAAGCTGAAGTTATATCAAGATTGAATATGTAAATCCCAGCATTAAAACCAATTTTACTTTGGCATAATTCATTGAACATGTTAAGTATTCATCATCACTCAATCTTTTTAAAAGGTCACTTCTTTTGTTTCCAGGGAAAACTTTATGACTTTTAGGACTGGGCTGGATGAACATTGAAGCCTCTTCTGGTTCTAAAACCTCTGAATATACAAACGAATTTCTAGTTGTTCTCCTCCCACAAGCTCAGTGGGGAATATATGAGTCTGCACTACCTTCAGCACATTCCTTCAGGAGACACAGACACATACATAATCAAACAGATAAAGATAGTTTCCAGAAAACTTAGGATGTTCCCACACTGAAGTTCAGCTCCCTGCACACAATTGTAATGGTGCTTAACGCTGATAATCTTAACACTGAAAACTGGATTATCAAATACAGCCCTTACCAGAGGTGATGTCAAGGACACCTGAGATGACCTGAAAGGCAGTTCCCTTATTAAAGCCTTCAAGTATTTCACAATCCTTCACTAGCCTCCCCTTTGTGCACAAAAAAACCCTCCTCTAATACTCTAAATATCTCTCAGAAAAAAACAGAATGAGGTCATGTTATTTCTACTCTAACAGCACTTTAAGTTTATCACCACTATGAAAAACAAAATCCCATTCCTGTTGCATTTCACACTATCGTTAAGATCATACTGCACTTCATTTAGAGAACTTGAAAACAAAAAAACCAACAACACTCAGAAACTAATCATTATTGCTTACTTCTCAGTCTTCATAAGAGGTATTTTTTCCAAGCAAAAATATTAAAATATTTAAGGCTTGTGTTTTTATAAGCATCTGGTAGGATTTTTTAATTGTTAATAGCCCTGATTCAGCCTATGTGCTTTTCTATAGGAAAATCTCAGCTCTATGTTGTTTTTTTGGTTTATGAAGGATCTGAAACAAATGGTATGCATCAGTAATGTCTAGCTACAACAGGTCTTCCAATCATTCTGTGTGACACCTGTAAGTGAGTAATCCTTGAACAAAACACAAATCTTTAAGATGCAATATACCATCAGCCTTCACAATTTGGTCAGGCGCAGATATTTCTGTTGCAATTAAGCAGATTAAAAAGTATTGGGAAGAATATACTACAATAGACTAAGAATCACTGGAGATTTTATTTTTCCTTTAAGGTTAAAAATGAAAGCATCTCTGCTAAATAATCAAAATGTAAAGGGAGCAAGGTTATTTTTCCCAGGAAAATGAGTAATTATTTAAGACACTATCTTATTCATGTTACTTTGTGGTCAGACCTATACACCTCTGACCTCCTTGCCTACTTGGATTATTTGTCCACTAATTAGGCAGTCTTAAATGCCAGCAGGAAAGCTTAAAGCCTTGCAATACTGTCAAGCAAAAATACCACCATAAAAGACAGGCATAACTATCTTTATCCCATTGAGCTCAATTCATTTTTTCATTCTGTGAGCCACTGGAGAAATACGTTTTAACTAGCTGAAGAAGAAAATCCTATGAAAACCTGTTGGACAATAACCTGTGGTTGGAAAAATCTAATTAACTCTAAGGCTACGTTCCACTTTTTGAATTAGTCTTCTTATGGTATAAAGAACTTGAATCGTGTCCTATCACCTCAGAGGTTTAGCAATGCCTCAATAAAAAGAAGTGAGCAACCCTTCTTAATTCATATCACTATATTGAACCGTGTCTCATATTTACGTGCATAACATTTATGCAGTACTCCTACCACTGTTGAGTTGGTACTGGCAAAGCAACAGCTGTACAAGCTTGCTGACAAGTCTGAGAGGCTTCACACCAGAGGCCACTTCCAAAGGGGAGATGGAAAAAGAAAAACAACCACACCCTCTAGAGTTCAACGACCCTCTCAATTAGTGACCTCCTCAACTGTAGACAGTTGCCATTTCTGGATCTGCTTGAATGGGCAATGGAGCTGTGAAGCTTCAAAAGTCAAGAGAGGCAGGATGTGACACTCATTCAACCAGATTCTAATCCTATAAACAACCAAGCACGCATCACTAGGCTACTTATGTTTTCTCACAGTGTTTTCTGCAGATACAATTAATCTCTCACATCTGGTGTTAATCGTCCTTCTTCAACCAGAGATAAGCAGAAAAATAAGTGAATTTTTCACACTTCCCCACTTCTGTGACCACATACGTCACCAAGACACCGGGTTGTCAAATACTAAAGGACATCCCCTACCGTTACACTTTTGCTAAAATACTGACAGCACAACACCAAAACTTGAAAACTAAAATCACTTCCAGAACTTAAGAAGTCTTTATTTATCATACGTATACGATTCAATACAGGGTCAATTATGCTTAGACTACAGCTAATAAGGCTATTGTTAAGGTTAATCGTTAGTCTTCAGATGGTTCAAGTCCCTGATAATGAATCCTATACTTATTTCATTGTGTTGTTCTAGCCTACTAACACAGAGCAACCAGTTAAAAGAACCCATACTTTCTGATGATTCAGTGTACGTCAGGTACATATTAACAAGCCAATTACACGCATGCAATTGTGCAAAGGAAGTATTTTTCCGTAGGCTACCTGTGAACTTTGAAACCTTTTTGAGAAACCTACCATGCTGTTTCTGCTTAGGGTTGTACATCTTCCACCAGCGAAATATGATAAATCCATCTTGAATTCTAAATCAAATAAATTAGACAAAATAGCAGTTAAGAGAGTGATAATCCAAAATCTTATGTGCAGCTGCATGACATGTTGCCTCCTGCAGTGCAGAGATCTGCAGCTGCAGTAGTGTACAAGCAATATTAAGGTACGAAGCATTACAGCACAAAGCATACAGTGTATTATTATACATTACTGCATTAGCTGAAACTTGCATAAAACCCCATACCCATTGCCTTCTCAAGGCTTTTGGAATTTAACAGCAAGAATCAAACTTACAAACTATGTGCTGGTATGCAGTTCACAAAACAAATTCTTCTCAATTCCAGCAAATAAATGCAAACTACTTGGCCAAAATTAATCTTTCAGACTTAAGAGAGGGAGTATGAGGGAGTGAAAGACACTAATGAAAAAAATAGTTCTTCAAACTCTGAAGTGTTTTCTTTTACAAATATTAAGGACAACTAGAATCTTATCCAGTAGTCTCTTCCAATCAACAACGTTCAAATAGCAAATGACCTAACAAGTATCTAAGAATGTCTCAATACCACCATCAAAAGAGTCAGTTTATTTTTAACACTTCTAAAAATATTTATTGTTCATTTGCAAGACAGTATTTTCATATCTGTTCTTTAGACATATATTTAGACACACTGTATTTGAAATCGCTACTTAGAAGAGCAACTCCCTTGGAAATCTGTACCTGATAGACATGTCTTCTGTGATGAAATAGATTTCGCGAACCATGACTTTTCCAGACAGTACAGAGAACGAAAAGGAACCTAGTGTGGAAAAAAAAAAAAGTGTTTATCAGACATTAGCCTAAAGTTGTTGATGCTTTATTTTCTGAACAGGAAGAATATAGTCTTCAATTATCTGAAATGGGTTTACTAGGTATGTTGAGTTTTCCCTTTGAAAACACACTGACTTTCAGAGGAGAAGGGAAGTCAGATTCAGAACATACAAGACAAAAAGTATGCAACTCTAAAAGGTGCTGGGTTTGGCACCACCCAAGAATACAACCAACCCCAAGACACACTAGTCCTTCAGGAACATTCAGGTACCTTGCGAAGCTTATGAAAAGAGTTAGGAAAGCTATTTTGAACATCTATAATATCAAGTCATTGTATGCAAGACCATAATTAGAGAAATAAAAATTCCTGACAAAATAATTTTTCAAATTTTAAATGGCTATAAAGTTTTCGGCCCAATTATTATGGCAAATTGTGTTTACGGCAAGAAGGATTAACAAGCATGCAAACAGCAGCAGGTAATGCAATAGTCCGTATTTGTCCTAAGGCTTTTCACCTCATCCACAGAAAGTCAAGTAAAACATGATTATATAAAAATAATAATAATCAACATTAATCGATTTAAGCCAAGCTGCAAATCAGAGGATTTAATTAATGTTATGTTCTTCTTGCTGATTAAGTTTATAAAGAACACCATATATCTGGCCAGCTATGTCCAGCTGTCTTTACTTAATAGCTATTTCACAGAGAAATTTTAATAAAAGCCTATAGATCAAGTGTAGCAGCCAATAAGTATTTCATCTGCATTGCCGTTTTAAAAGCTGGATTTGAAGATGGTTTGGATTACAGTTCCTAAATTCTCGAGGACATAAGCAAATTATTGCAGGGGTCTCTTTGGCAGGCAAGTGTGGGTGGGATTTTCTGGTTTTAAGTTTTCACTACATTTATGACCAATAGTTGCAGAAAAAGTCCAGAACTAAAGTCATCATTATTCTGAGAAGCAGACAGAGGAAGGCATGGAAGAATAAATAAAAGAAAATTAAAAGTGCAATCTGAGTGACGGTGTGGGATACAGCCCTCTGTGACTCAGCACCAGATATTTTTGTAATGTGGGTGAGTGCCCAAGTGATTTGTACTGACCTGTTTTATTAAAAAATGTTTTAAAATAAAAAAAAAAAGAAAAAGAAAAGTTAATGGATTTTGATGCAAATGTTCTAGCCAGTATAAATGCTACATATCACAGTCCCAGTATGGATTAACATGATTAACTGTTCTGACAGCTTATGTAGAAACCAAGGACGCTGCCATAACAGCGAGTCAAGGCCTAAGACTCCACTGTGCCCCTCCGAGTCCACTCCAGCGGTTGCAACCCACACTTCAGATGCCATAAAACCAGCCTCAAAGGTGTGGGCGAGTGGGAAGCTGCACCCCTTAACACCAGATTATGAGGCAAATTCAGAGGTGGATCAGGCAGGTTCCATGGGGACTGAGGTCGATCTTCTCCTTCTAAGACACTAACCGTTATGATTACAGGGCTTTGAAAAAAGGGGTAATGGAAAACGTAAAGATTTTAAGTACACAAAGTACACAAGCCAAACAGAAAAAAGTAAACTCAATTTAAAATTAAAAAAACTGTCAAGTGAACTTTAATACAAAATAATGAGAGACTTAAATGAAAAAGGGGGTGGTTTTTTTTCCTACACCAAGAATCCTCCCCTAAAGTACGATATTGAACATTTTTCTTCTTAAATTAAACCCATGCTGATCATTTCCAAATTACTGTAACAAAGGAACACTTTGACTTTACTTCCAGTTTTTAGCAAATTGAGGTACAATATAAAGCAGCAGATTAACACAGCATTACAGTAATTATAACTTACCAATATGGATGTAGCCATGTTTATATAATCTGTTAAGAACCAATGTTAAAATGAGTCCAATGTTCCGGGAATTATAATAAGTTAGGTAGATAATCCATCCACAAGACAATATTGTCGCTGTTGAAAGATTAAAATGAATTAAAATATTTCTTAAAGTATGCTGACCTAGATAAAAGCCTTACCTATTAAGACTATGAAGCACAACAGTGTTCTTCCTACACTCCAAAACCAATCTGAAACTGATGGGACACTTTATTGGGTGTTTTCAGAAAGATGGTGTGAGAAGGGTGTGAAGAGATGAGGGGAAAAAAAGAAGGGAAACAGAAGTTCAGAAAAATATAGATTCTTCACTGCACTTCCATTCCCTAATATAAAAAAAAAAAACTGTCCATATTCCATTACATCCCTTATTGTCCAAGAAGTTAAATTTCATAGATCAAATCATAACATGCATTACCCCACATGGTCATTTATTTCAAAACACCCTAGAAAACCAACACGACAGAAGTCGTACTACATTCCTTCTCCATGATTCTCCAAACTGTGAATTGTAACTTAAATTTCTAGTCTTTCATATCTTAGCACAGGAAACAACATTATCACATCTGAAACCTTTTCCTAAGTTGCTGTATCCCAAGAGAAATGTACCAGTCCTCAGGTTACCAGAAATCTGTCAACAGTTCAAGCATGGAATTTGATAGGAAAAAAAGGAAATCGCAATCCAACGAGAAACATGTTTAAAAAAAAATAATTAGGTCTGCTAATCCCCAAAGTAATCTTTAGTTGATTAAGAGCTAGTAACCTATTTCTAACTACAAGGTTTCTCAAAGCTTCCAGAAGGACAAACCCAAAAGGAATGGGACTGCCAGGGAACAGACTAGTTCTAACTCACTTTACTGATAATTACCATTCTGTTTCATTCAAAGCAGAGTAGGAAAGAATGTCATCTTTGTATTTGAGGTATTTCTACTCATTACACTAACTGAACTTTGTAACTGAAGTTTTTCATTTAGGTATACACTTCATACTGAAAAACTCAGATTTATTGTGCCTTTTATAGAAAATCTGAAGTGCAGGAAGGCATATGGGTACGACACCTTCACTCTGTAGAGACTTCAGATGACTACTCAAAAAAAACCCAAACAACAAAACCACACCAAAATAGTTACAAAAACAACCTGTCCTTTTACTCCTCCTTAATTTTTTTTGCAGTGGGATGTTCCATTGCTTTGTAACAACACCTGTGCTTTGTTGAAAGATGAGGAGAACGTAGAAGAAAGAGACTTGCATGACTTAATCTTTTCCTTACTGGAAATGAATCCAGTGTGGCCAAAATTCAAGTAGCTCACACACTCGGACAGGTAAGCTGCTTGACATGTAAAACAAATCAAACCTGTGTGGGTGATTACACAGGAACAAGGCAGGGAGGGTTAAAGCTACGCCCCAGGAAAGAAACTGCTCTTGGCATTCAGTGAAGGCACACTCCAAGGACAGCGTTTACCTCCCCTCACTTTCAGATGAGTAAGCTGCTCACTGCTGGTCCTCTATCAATGTAGGGAGAAAGGTGGAATGACTCACACTCAAAGGGTCTCATTCCAGTAATAAAACTCAATTTGAGATTAAAGTTCAACTAGATACTGAACTTCTAGATACCCAAAGCCAAGAAGGTACCCTCTGAACGTGACATATATGGAGAAAAATTGGGAAACTAGTGCAGTTCCCAGGCACTATGGTCCTAACCCACTGCCTTTACCACTGGTCTCACCCCTGCCATAAACTGTAGCCTCTTCTTTTCCCTCACCAAATTTAGTCTCTGCTGTCAAGTGACAGATCCCATAAACTCTCATTATTATATTCTTGATTTTAAAAGCCTCTTCACTGAAACTACATTTTGGAAATTACATTTGGAAAGTTTTACTGCATGTGATTTTAAAAGATTATTCTAGAATTGAGCAACAGCTCTTTTTTTGTTCTCTTATAACAGGATGCCATAGGTCAGCAGATAAAAGCAAAGGAAGAATGACTGGTTGAAACTGGGTCAGTTAATAACTATCACTTTGTTTCTATCCAAACCTTGTAATAACAGGAGGCCACCCAGCTTTTTCTGTTGTTTGTGTCATTGTTTCTAGAATACCAGGTGGTTTCTGACAATTGAAGAGACCAGCAGCTCCCCAAAACTGCATAATTGTATATAGTTCATTCTGTCCATAAAAAAAGGGGACGGACCGTATTATTTCATCAGGTTCCATCCATCCCTTCTGTGAAATAAAAATTCATAACTTTAATATATTCAAGCAAATAAGAAAGCTAAGCAAAGCTTTTGGTCTAAACTATAGCTGTTACATGGAATTGCTTATATCCTACATACTCTCCATGTGGAATTACTAACAGTTTGCTCTAAGAATCCAGTGCAGAGAGGGAAAATCAGAAAAAGAAAATTCTGCAGGCTGCAATTTGAGACTTTTATTCTTTGGTGAAAGACCTGGACACCTCTAAGTCTCAAGGCAAAGCTTCCAGAGACAAATTTTTCGGATCTGTTCCATATTTGTTCCACGTTTTACCATGAGCAGCATGGTCATTCCCCTATTTTCATCTTGACTACACTTGGAATTTTATGTTCAGTACAAACTTTCCACGTCAACATATTAAAATATTCAGAAAGCACCCTGAGGTAATTTGCCTATATCATTTTCATTCAGTTTGGCCTACTGAAAAATAATTCCAGTATATCAATAGCCAACCGACATGCTTTAACTTCCCAGAAATCAAAAAAAAGAAGTTATTTTTCCTGTGCTGCCCCTCACTCCAAGTCCAAGAATCAAGCCTGAAAAGCAGGCATTATCTACCTTTGGAAAAGTCCAAATTCATCACACACTTCTAGCACTCTCATCTGGTCCTCAATACAACTTAATTTTTATTGTGCTGTCACTGATCCACCTGCTCATAGATTCAGAAAATAAAAGTACCTAAACAAATACAAACAATAGCACTAGTCTTATAAAAAAATTAGCATATCTAAATCAGGGACATTTACAAAAACAGCCCAAAACCCAGTACATGATAGTTTGGCTTAAAGGTTATTGTGACACACAATTTAGACTAGAAGTTATGTCATTAAACACAATAGTCTTTACAGCACTTTTCAAACTATACTGTATTAAATGGCAGATATGTACACAGTGGTATAACAAAGTTATTGTACCTGACTGTCATGTGCTACAAAGCTAATCCCTTGTTATGGTATTACAATTAATCATCAGCTTATTCTGGTGTTAGAAAAAACTTATTTCATGGAGATAAGTTCTCACTGAGATCTTATTTTGCAGAGTCACAGTTGTAGAGCATCATCTTTTGCACATCGGACTTATCTCCCAAGCGTTGCAGCACAATTAGTATTGGAAACAGTTCTGTATTTTTTCTTTCTGAGTTGCTTCAGTAGCATTGCCATACCTCACTAAACAGCTGTATGACAAATAGAAATTTATTTTCAATGTTTTGATGTAATTTGGTAGGAAATTTAATATTGGTATGCCAGCATTTAGAGAAGCACATTTAAAAGTACACACACAAAAAAAAATTAACCAAAACAGAATAGATTCACCTTACCTACTAACAGCCAAACAACGTTGGAGTCATGCTCTGTTAGGAAGTCTTCCAACTGCGTGATACTTGGGACAAAACTATCATTTTTTCTTTGATCCATTGCTAAACTGTTTTTGCACCAGCACCTATAGAACTGAAAGAAAAAAAAAAAACACAACAAACCAAAACCAAAATGAGTAACAAGCACAGCACAGTTCGGAGAAAATTGAGTATGTACCACGTTAAATAATCTCTAACAGTCTGTTTCACACAAATATGAATTTACTTGTTTTATTCCTTCAATAACATCTTTACAATTGTCAGCTACCCTTTCTTCAACTCTAGAGCTCCAGAAAAAACTTCCACTCATTTCTGCTGAAACAAATCGTTTCCAGGCACATGCCCCCCTGAAACAGCTTACAGGTCCAACAGAATGCCAGAATACGCTCTCCAAAATTAGCACCCTGAATGCCCTGTACAGCATATAACAACAAATAAATTTAGAAAACGGTTGCATGATAGCAGAAAGTCAAAAGGTAATGGAACACACAAGTAACAATCAGTCTGCATTAGGCCTTCTAACATGCAAAAAGGTAATGAGAGACAATATGAGGCTGAACTCCTGTCCCCGCAGAAGGAAAGGCCAAAGCCAACACTTTCAGCAGCTACGGAAAATTCTCATAACCTCCTAATCGACTGTATCCATTAATTCTTCTGCTTTAGGATGGATTTGCATAATCTTATAAAAAGTGACTACATAGTGTCTCTGTTACAGAGAGCAAAAAACCAGTCCTTCTGACCTCACACACTTATTCAAACCACCCATAAATCACCTTGCAACTGGGTTATATTAATTAAGTGTGATTAACAGGGAGTAGCTCAACTCAGTAACATCTGTAATTACACAGCAGTATTTTACTTGCATTAGTTTCATTTGAAGTCTTCACCCTTGGATGTTATCTGTCAAGCCTTCTTACAGGAAGACAAGCATTAATTCTGCCTTTTTATTTATTTATTTTTTTTTAGACACCTTCCAGCCCCTGGCAGCCTGTCTTCCTATCAGTATTCAATCCTCAAAAAAACGAGTTAACTTTATTTCCCTTCTTTATGAAGTCTCCAATGCTCTCCATCAAGAGCTCTCGAACATAAAACTAAGTAACATTGGTAAGATCTTGGTTTTTGAGCTGCATAACATCTTTGGAATAGTCAGTATTTAGAAGTGTTACCGATAAAACTAACAATTTATCCAGTTTTTCCTATAATACACACTACCTGTCACTATTATAACTTTAAAACAAAATGTGGAAAGAGAAGTTGAAAAAGACCCGCCTTTAATGCACTTGTTTCTCCCCTACATTTGGGTAAATAACAATTTGTTCACCGCCTCTTCTGTAAGAAGGAATAGGATGGGAAGGAAAGATCATGAAAGCAATAAACAGAAACAAACAAACCCAACACCAAAACACCAGACATTGCTTCCAGTAGCGATGACAAAGAAGCTATTAACTTAGCTCCCCTACAAAGATGAAAAATAAGCATCACACACACACACTTTAAAAAAAGAAGCTCTTGTTTTAGAAGGGACATTATAATGGCAAATTAAATCACATAATGGTACTGTGATTTGCTTTAAAACATTCACAGTACCTTAATAAAAAACCCACATGTCAACTCATATTATAAAGCAGATGATGCCTCCGCAGGCTGCCTCTAAGAGCTTTTAACCCGTGAATGACAGGGTAACTGGAGAAACCAAAATCAACATAAAAGAAGAGAGAACTTGTTTTCTCCCTTTCTTACCAAGAGACAACAGGGTCACTCTTTTGTGGCCAAGACCGCCATGGAAGTGCTGTTAGTTGGTGATGACTGTCTATCACTTTAACAAACACCGCCACTATTTAATCCCTCAAGAAAGGAACCTGTGGCCTTTTCCTAAGAAATTATCACCCCGTGTTACATGATACTGAGACAGGACATTAAATATCTTTACGCTCTAAATAGGACTGTGGGAAGACAACTCAGAGACTGCAAGTCATGGGATCCTGATATTTGGTTACTCAAAGAAAGTCAGCGTTCATCATTTTTTGTCATCACTATCCATAATCATCAACGGGATATCCTCAGAAGTCTTCTGGAATACATTTGCTATTTGTATGCAAAAAACTCAGGATCCCCCATCAGTCCTCATGTGTCAATATATCATTTTGGAGCTCCACAGATGATCCTTTAACACCCTACCCCACTGATATTTTTATTTTTTTTTTTCTGTTAGGGCACCCTTCACCCTTGATCAAGTCACCTGAGGAAGAGGACGATGGCAATGAAAGTGTAACCACCCAGAAACAGGCAGCAGCCACACCTGCACTTGATGTGGGCTCTCAGCATGCCTCTCAGAGGAAGCGGGCGCTTAATCCGCTTAGATTATGAAGCAATTTTGGCCATATGAATTTGTGTAACAGAAATGGGATGCATGCAGAGACTTAAGTAGTACACACTGTTTATAATGTCCTTGTGCACTTACATGGCATAGAGGCTGGAGAGGCAGGATCTGGATTATCACGATTGTTAAGAGGAAGAGATGCAGTCTTTTTAGGACAGATACTAGCTACTTCCAGTAACGATCATTTCTTTCTGTTGACAGTCCTGCACCTATCTGCCTTCGTCTTCCATGCCCTATATACTGTACCCATAGATTTAAATCCTGCATACCTCTCAGCTGCCTGCACTCATTCATCCTCTGTTACATTTATTCCTGTGGGCAAAATTACTTTGCAATCAGACAAAACATTAACTGTTGCACCCTCCAGGATCCATAAGTTGATGAGCCTGTAATTTAACATTCATACTGCTACTGTATTCTTTTGAAGTAACAGTATACTTTCCAAATGGTTAGGGACTGCTGTTGGAAGGATGAGACCTAAGTCTGGGTGGGAAACTGAGTCTTACCAATCCTGCTAATACAAGAAAGAAAAAGCATCAAAGAGGAAGAGAAACTCAGAACTTCACATTTATGTATCTCCACTTATTTATGATATTTTCTCAAGGTCTCTACTGTTTTGTGATGATGAGCTCAGTTAACATGCTGGACTATTGTCCAAAACCATGGCAACTGGTTTGGATTACTTGCCTTCCCCCCCGCCCTTTTCATTTTTTTTATGCACATCTTTACTATTCAGTATCTCACTTGTGGCTCTCATTTGCCACATACCATGTTAATACATACAAAACATATTAGCTGTCTCCTGGGAGGAAGATAAGAGAAGAGGAAGATTCTGTGGCACTGAAGCGACAGAATCCCAATACTTGCATTTATTTTCACAGCAGTCCTTTAAGGCATTATGTAGTCTTCTTTCTGCAAAGGAGATATCTGAAGCAGAGACAAAGGCCAAATCCTTTATTTACGATGCCCAAACTGAAATACTCGGGGCCTGCTTTTCAGGTTGTGCATGTTTAGAGCACTTAGCACGTTCAAAGCAGACAGCAGACTGGCCTGAAGATGAGAGGGTTCAATATCGCTGTAGATTTGCTCCTCCTGGTCAGACAGGCTTTCTTTATAGCAGAAACACACTCTTAACAGACTTTCAAAAAAAATGAATTTTAATTATTTGTGTCACAGGTTAATCCATTCTTCTCAGTGCTAAAAAGATGCAAGGGATGCTATAATCCTAGGGGGGATGAACTTCCTTTCCAGCCTGCTTCCAGTATTCCAAACTGGACCCAATTTTCACAGCAAATATTCTATCCCTAAAAAGCCAAATACTCAAAAGCAGCTGCTTCAAATCTTTATAAATACATTTCAATCGCATCAAATAGGTAAACTAGTTTTAACCTCAGACTGACAGATTAACACTTAACACCAAGAACAAACCTCTGCTTGAACAAAGTCATTAAAAATTTACAGAAAGCATGCATATTTGAAAGAGCTGACAGAAAAAAAGACAGAAGCCTGGTCATCAGGCTCTCGGTCACCAGAGTGCAGTTGCTTGGCAGAGACAGCTGCAGCCCAGGGAGCAATAACCCACCTGTAAAAGGTCTGTCCTGTACCTATAGCTGAGGATGAAGGCAACAGATATTTTATTCAGTGCTCAAGAGCATTAGGGTAATATGGGTCGTGAGCTGCATAAAAAAAGGAGAAAGAAAAAGACACGTCTGTTTATCACAACCTTTGTAACACTCCTCTCCTGGCACACCTTGTAGAAACAGCTGAATAAAACTGGTATCCAAAGGCAGGAAAAACAAAATAGCATTTCATGATACTGAGAAGAAACACTTTTATACGGTTATGAAGTGGGTAAGGAAATAATGGGCACTGCCAATCCCCCTAGTATTACTATAATTCATGGGAGGAATAAACCAAGAATTTAAATTTGTCAGACATATTCCTCAGATCTTCACAGAAATCAAGTGCTTACCGATTATATGTTAATTGATGTTACTAGAGGTTAACTACCATTCCAACGATATTCAACTCCCAACTTCTACAGCAATTACAAGACAGCAGAGTCACAATTACACCCGAAACGACACATTAAACAACAGGAGGTAAATCCCCCTAGTCTAAATAAATTAATGTAGATAACGTGCCTGGATGCTTCAGATCTCCAGTAAAGGAGCAATACCCACAGTGGTTCCTTAGAGGAAAGGAAAGAAATGGCATTTTTATACCCTACCCGCTCCATCACTTTCTTTCAAAGAGTGTCCAGCAACAGCTGCTATGAAATCAGAGCTTTAGATTATTAAATGATGTTAGAAAGGAGTCTCACAAATGTAAACACAACTTGACTGAATTTTCCTCTGAAGGTATGGTGACCTTGTCAGCACCCAGACACATATTAGGCACATTTCACAAAACAAAAAGCTGCCAACCTTGGCGTCTTTCCCAAAACACTCCAGCTAGGTCCGAAGACTTCAAACCCGTCCCAGCACAGCTTAGAAAGCTCAGCTATTCTTTAATCAACAAGCAAGGGAAAGAGGAAGGAAGAGAAGGAAAGTTGTTCTCAAAAAACACATGTACACAAGAAATAAGCTCAGTGACAGCACCTGCACAGCAATTCTGCCATCTGACATGTTGCGTTGGCTTCGTACCTTATACCCAATTAAAGATCAGCAGTTCTTTTTTTAAGAAAATAACTAAGAGTCAGGCCTATT